ATTTTTCTAACAATCTTTCATTTTCATTTAATTTCCTAGTTTTTTTTTTTTAATTTGAACTTCCAGGCCCTATTATTACTATTCAGTTTACTATTGGCTTTTTTACTGTAGCAGTTATATTTTTATATTACTTATTTTCAGTTCTTCATTATAACTGCTTGTTCTGGTTTCAGGTTTTCAGTATTTTCCCAAATCCTGCCAAGGTTTTTTTTTGTTTGCTTTATCATATCTTTTAAAAATTCTTGTTATATCTGTTTTTACTAGCTCTACTTTCTTATAAGTCATTGTAATTTCTTTTGTACTCATGATCTTCTCTTGTTTTCCCTGGGAGATATTTTTCCTTATTTTCCCTAATGGCAGTAAAGTCCTTTGGGAGAAAAGTGACAGCTACATCTGAACTTGAGGTAGAGTTGGAGACAGGGCTCAATCTGAGCTTCGTGAATCCCTGTTTTCCCCTTTCTTTTGCCCAAGTATTGATCTTGTTAGAGGCAGCCAAGTTTTGATGGAATTACCTAGGTAAGGTAACATTGAAGGCTTTGTTAACACACCCATGTCATTGGCACCTGTCACTGCCTGTCTCCATGGCCTGAGGTTGACTAGAAAGCTCTAACTTTCCTGTTTCTAGATATGAAGTGGGAATTTTCCTGGGGTCTTAGTTTTAGGGCACTGGGGATACTCCTGAAATTGGGGAGTCTTTCAAGGATGTTATCTGGGGGAGTCTGAGTTTCCACAAGCTCCATGCCTACATCAAAGTTTTCAGTTACAGTGAGAGAGGAGCCCCTTTGCTCCACCTAGGCCACTCTCACCTCCCTGACACTGGTCAACCTGGGCTCACACAAGGCACCACGGGGAGTGAACAGAACAGCTGAAAAACTTTCCCTGCCTGTGTGTTTATCTATGGTCCCTGGCACACTACTCTTTCCTTCTACACCATTTACCTTCTGACAGGTATCCACTACTTCATGTTTCCCCCAAAGGTTTCTCATAGATTTTTACTAAGCGTGACCCTCAAATTTACACACTTCTTTAGCTCCTGGCATCTTCAGGATTTTATTTCCATTTCTGTCAGTAGCCAGCACTACCACTCATTTCATCTTCCACTAGGTATTTGTAAGAGGAGAGAAAAGTCTTTGGTGAAACCCATCCACATAGAGAATTCCCAGAAAGGAGAGAGAGAAGGAAGAAAGGAAAGGCAAGCTGGTTTCCTTACAGCCTAAGGAAGTTCCAGTCCTTCCTCACCCAGAGTCACAAGAAAAGGGAAGAGAGCCAGTGCCCACGTGGGCTCCAATCAGACACCAAGAATGGAAAGAGATGGAGGCCATAGCTCTTAACCACTCTAAGAGCAAGGTCACAAAAGAGCAGAGCTAGAAAGGGGAAGCACTCCAGGCCTTCTTAAGTAGACATGCTTGCCAGGTGGGAGTGCACCATTCCTGTAGGCAAGGCTCCCTAGACAGAGAAATGTAGCTGGACCTTGTGCCATGAAGGAGAGATTTCTGTCTCTCTCTGCCACTTATGTCTCCTTGGAGCAAGAGTCCATAGAGAGACCACTGTCCTATATATAGGCTCATAATATCAACTCCTGGTACAGTAGTTCAAAAAAGTTCTTAAATTAATAACTTTTAGGGGCAGAAGGATCTTGAGATCCTTCTCCTAAGATCTTGTACTTTCTTCTCCTTTCTCCTCTTTATATTCTTCCATAGAAATTTCATCATGTACTAAAGGATCACTTGATGAGTGAGTAAATGGCCTGAAGGCACATCCCCAGCTCTGCATTTTTTTCTAAGCTTAGTGCTGACTCTTCATTCAGTATACTTAATGATGCTGCTAGGACATCCCACTGCTCTCTCAACTTCCGAGGGTCTAGAACTTCCCTGAGAATTTTCCTCTATAAATCCTGCCTTTTCCATTAACGTTTAGACCATTATTTTCTCTGTCACTCACATTTGAAACCTCCGGGTCATCTCTGATCCCACTTCATTCAAAACCCCTTAACCCATGTGTCCTTTCTTTTCATTTTCTTTTCAATTCAGATACATATGTAGAGATAGGTATAGGTATCTACCTTTATAAAAAAAAAAGATATATTTTGGTGGGCAATCCAAATTAATATATTTTTTAAAGATTTTATTTATTTATTTGAGAGAGCGAGCATGAGCAGGGGGAGAGGGAGAAGCAGACTCCCCACTGAGCAAGGAGCCTGATGCGGGACTCGATCCCAGGACCCTGAGATCATGACCCGAGCTGAAGGCAGCTGCTTAAGGACTGAGCCACCCAGGCACCCCCTTATAGCAAGGAAAATTTTTTTAAATGGATGCTGTAAAAACAATAGATCTTTTCAACAGATTTCAGCTTGACTAACCTGAGTCCCCTTGAACCACATTCCCTCCCTAAGACATGCTGTTGGGGCCCACAGCACATCACACCCAGAGCTGGAAGGACACTTTTCATGAGTTGACTTGGTGCTTGCTTACTAAGCATCAGTCAAAATTCTTGCTAGGAAAACTAGGTATAATGCTCTAGGGAGCATTAGTTGTTAAAAAAATTGCTTTTAATCTAGAGCATAAGAAAACAATAAACTGAAGTGGAGGCATCATTATATTCTGATTTCCATTTGAACCAACCATGGATTGCACCTCATGAGTGAGTCTTCTGCCACAAAAAAAATATGCAGAATCTCAAAAAGCAGACCCCTGTGCAAACTAGGTTCTTTGCTCTATATCACAAGTTTGTATGTTTATGAGTTAAATGTTTTATGTATGTATATTTTACTTTTTATGAATCCCCACTTAAATCAGACATCTTTTTTTAAGCAACCAACTGCTATGTCAAACACATCAGATACGAAGGCTTCCACTGTCTCTTGAATCTTCTTCCAAGCCCATTGTCTGCTGTTAGCTTATAGATGCTACTGCTAGTAACAGTTGCAGTGTAATCTTGGGGAGGCCTCCCACTGTATCATCATCTTTAAAACACACACACACTTCTTGCCAGGGGGATCAATAGTCCGTTTTTAACACCTGAGTTAACCACACTCACAAAGTTGGTGAAAGTCCTCAGCCAATTTTAATTTGGGGACATTGAAAATTGTAGTGTCAGGCAGAGAAAATAGTGGTTGGTTGTAATAGCCATGAAGAAAGAAAACAGAGTTGAGTCCAGCTCTTTTCTGATGTTGCTTTAAATCACTACTATTAGCTCACCATGCAGAGATTTCTCCTTTATTACACATTCAGCCAAAGAAGAAAAAAATACCACTGTTTTCTAGCTCCATCAATCCCATGGTGTGACTTCACAATTATGTACATTGTGAGCCTGTTAAATTGTGAAGGGAATTTGATGAATGTTTTCAAATGCTTCTCTCTTTTCATGTCTATTTCCCATTTGCTGTTTAGATCATTTCTTGGTGAGCATTCTTTTTTGACATTTACTAAATGTTAGCTCTAGTCCATGTCTAAAACATTGGCCTAGAGCCAGCAGGCTTACCAATTTATATTAGCCTGTTAAGAAAAATTAAATAAAATGTGAAAATGAAAGGAAAATTGCTTCAAAGAAAAATGGGGGCCAACCGTGAAAAAGCCCATAATGGCTGCTACTCACACCCCTTTGCTTACTGTGTTCATGGTTGGGTCATTTTGTGCTGTTGCCAGATTCTGAAAGGAAATCCAAAAAAAAGAATTACACATAATTCTTTCATATAGCAACCATTTATTGAGTACCTATTCTGAATCAGCACCAGCAATACAAAGATGAGGAGACTGGTTCACTCTGCAAGTAACTCACAGTCTCATGTAATGATTCTCAAACTTGAAATGAAAACCGGGCTTCCCTGATGGAAGGCTTTCAGAAGGGCAGGAGGGCCTCCTAAAGCTGCATATCTGTGCTAGGAATTATTGCTAAGGAAATAATCAGGAAAATTGCAAGATGTCGTCTTTCAGAGTAATGGTCTCCATTCTTATGTAGAGTAATAAATGACTTACCAGACGTTCTAGCAGATATGTATTAGACACCTATTCCACTTCATCTTGATAAAGAATTAAATGAGTTATTTTTCATGACCACTAACATGGTGTATGTTAGTTGTTTCTTTGTATTTAATTACTGTTTTCATAGTTCACTGACTCAGTTCACTGTTGTTTAGTTTTCCTCTTTTAATTGGCAGTAACTGTGGATGATATACTGATGATGCTGATGCATATTGTCTTTGAACCCTTCCCTCATTGTCATGGGGTTTATTTCTTAAGTGGATTTTTAAAAGTCTGTGGTACACTGATCCGAAGTTAATACCAAATAGGATTTTAGTACAGATGCTGGTGTTCTCTGTTCCTGATCCACGTCTGTATAAAAGGTTGCTTGATTCCACTTGGCCGTTAGTAACTTTGGAAGAAAATTGAGGCACGTGGACTATGTAATCAGGCATTTGGCGTTTATTTTGGTTGATTCATCATGGTTTTGAGCACAGGTCGAGAGGTTAGCCAATTCCCTACTGTTAATTTGAGTTCTAAGTTGTTTTTAAATGTATATCTAGTAAATTATCTAAGAACTGCTTCCAGAGGCTCAAAACTTTTATCTTCCAGGTACAGTATAGGATTTAGTTAGTATAGTATTTAGACTACCATTCAGCAGCCTTTCTGACCTTTTTCATTCACAAGTGAAGAATCTGAAATTTCAATGTTATTTGTTAGGAAGTAATGCAATTTCTAAACTCCAGTGTTATTTCTTTAACAAATTAATGCAACCATTCTGGTAAAATAGCATTTAACAGGGCATTGTGGCTTCTACCTACCACCTAGAGGTTTGCATCTTAGACTTGACTTTGTCCTTAAAGTGGCAGCCAGGTTAAGAGAGACCTGAACGTTTGCGAACCTAAGACTTTTCCATAATGGTGTTTCATAGAACTCTTCTTTTGGATCTTCTGCTTCTTTTCTCCCTCAAGACAATGACATTTCAGAATTCCTTTTTTTTTCCAGAAAGCAGAGGTAATTGATAATTTGTTCTAATTTAAGGGTTTCTCCTCTTCAAAAATCTGAAGTTGTTGAGATGGTTAAGAAACAAGTCAAAGTCATAACGCTTGCAATTGGTGATGGAGCCAATGATGTCAGCATGATACAGACGGCGCATGTTGGTGTCGGTATAAGTGGCAATGAAGGCCTTCAGGCAGCTAATTCTTCCGATTACTCCATAGCTCAGGTAAAGCAGCATTTCTGCAGAACACAGCATGAATACTCAGCTGACAGTATGAAAAGAAAAATACTAATTCTTTTCCGTACTAATTCTTTTCTACTTTTATTTTAGTTCAAGTACTTGAAGAATTTATTGATGGTGCATGGTGCCTGGAACTATAACAGAGTCTCCAAGTGCATTTTGTACTGCTTCTACAAGAATATAGTCCTCTATATTATTGAGGTAATCGCAGGTTAAGCTTAAAATCCTTGTCAGGTGCATAAATATTTAAAGAAAAGTTCTCATTGTTTTAGTGAATCCTTCATTTGCCCACTTTTTATAACTTCCAAACATGTTAAAGTCTGTTGGCCCTAGAGAATGATGAATGTTTAAATTTTCTGGGGCTAAAAATGTTACATTGTTTTGGTAAGATATTTTGAATTAGAATTAATGAAGTAATGTTTTCAGTTTTTAAGAGACTACAGATTGGGGCACCTGGGTGGCTCAGTTGGTTAAGTGTCTACCTTCAGCTCAGGTCATGATCCCGGGGTCCTGGGATCAAGCCCAGAGTCCGGCTCCCTGCTCAGCGGGGAGCCTGCTTCTCCCTCTGCCCCTCCCCCAGGTTGTGCTCTCTCTCTCTGTCAAATAAGTAAATAAAAGATTTTATTTATTTGAAAGAGAGAGAAAGCATGAGCATGGGGGGAGAGGGAGAAGCAGGCTCTCCGCTGAGCAGGGGACCCCCCCAAAGTGGGGCTCAATCCCAGGACTCCAGGATCATGGCTTGAGCCAAAGAGATGCCTAACCATCTGAGCCACCCAGGCACCCAATAAATAAAATCTTTAAAAAAAAAAAAGCACAAACTTCATAGCCTTTTTTATAAAGCTTAAGATCATACTAGAGAAAGCAGTATAGTGTTTTAAGGATACACATATGGAAAACTAAAAAGAAACTAAGGGAATGACAGACATAAAATTGAGGGTAGCAATTCTAAGGGGTAGAATCAGGAAGGATACACACATAGTTTTGCTCGTATTGGTCATCTCATAGTTCTTACTGTGTTTTCAAACTTACTTATATGCAAGTATGCCTTGCTATCCAGACCAGTTTGGCTTCTGAGTTGGTTGGTAGGTAGCGAGAGTTCAGATATGAGGAATTTGTCTAAAACTTATCAGAACATTCAGTTCCTATGTCTGGATGGCAACAAATTTCTATATTCCCTTTCTGGTACCACATAGAACATTATTACTAAAATTAAAGCTTAATCCAGGTCAAGAATGTCACCTCTAAAGGGAGGTATTCTGGGTTTTTTTTAAGATTTTTATTTTTATTTATTTGACAGCGAGAAAGAGCAGAAGCACAAGCACAGGCAGGGGGAGGGGCAGAAGGAGAAGCAGGGTCCCTGCTGAGCAGGGGAGCCCAATGTGGAGCTCGATCCCAGAACCCTGGGATCATGACCTGAGCCAAAGGCAGACGCTCAATCGACCAAGCCACCCAGGTGCCCCGGCATTCTGTTTTATAAACATTTTTGCAGCACCTGCTGGGTGCCAGGCACCAGGCTTATTATTTCAGCAATGACAAAGTAAATCAAGCATGGCTCCTGTCCTCCAGGAGCTTGCCAATAGAATACAACATAAGCCATATGTGTCATTTTAAATTTTCTAGGAACCACATTAACAACAAGTAAAAATTAAAGCCCGGGTTAATTTTAAAATGACATTTTCTTTATCTTAGTAAAATCAGAATTATCATTTCAACCTGTAATCACTTTAACAAAATTATGAATGTAATATTTTACATTCTTCATACTAAGTCTTTAAAATCTGGTGTGTATCTTACACTAACAGCACATCTCAGTTTGGACTAATCACATTTCAGGTGTTCAGGAGCCCTATGTAGCCCATGGCTACCATACTGGACAGCACAACACTTGTGGATAAATTGAACTAGATGATTAACTGGGACATGATAGAGAAGTTATTTACCTTTTTTTTTTTAAACATATAGCCATTTTATCATCCAAAACTGTATTTGTAATACTTAAACTCTAGTAGAGGTTATCAGTTTCTTGCTCTCCTTGCTGCTCCACACAGCATGGGGATAAGGGCCCCGTAGCTTGTTAAGAAAACCCTCCGTCTTCCACTCCTGTCTGGGGACCTGCCCACACCCTCGTAAATCTGCCCAGGGCTCCCTAACACACGTCTGCTTATGCCACCCTGCCCTCTAATCTGCTGTTTCTACACATCTGTCAGGAGAGACACAACTAACCATTTGCTGTATGGAAAGACTATCTCGTACTTTACACCAGAGAAGTAACACTATAAACAAAGAAAAAATCCATGGATTTCACATTTACGCTACTGATCCTTAGTTGGGAGCTGCTGTCTATTTCGTTCAGCCGTTCTTTATGCCTCTGTCAGAATGCTTATCTCCTTATTAAAATGTTGACTGAGCATAGTTCTTATGAGACAAGCCAGGAAAATTTGAAAGTTAATTTCAAAGTATGCAGACAGTTTCATTTGTTGGTCCACAAAAATGCTATAATTAGGTTACAACCCATTAGGTAAAATAATCAAGTACTTGGAGACATAAACAACATAATCCATGAGTTTATTGTTCATTACTGCTGAATTTTGTCTGGAATAGTCTGTGTTTTGAAGCAAAATGCACTTCTAAAATAGCTTATAAGGTCCAAAAAAAGATACATTCTTTGTTGTATGTGTAAATTTGTGGTTCTTTTCTAAAATAATAGTTTTTGATTCCCAATCCCCTCTATAGTTCTAGTTTTTCTTAATTGTATTTTCTTCTCATCCCATTAATATTCAAAAGAATATTAGTTTATACAGTTATTTACAAATACCTTTGAAGATACCAGGAGTTTAAAGCCACTGACAGCAATAAATCTGCTTACAAAAATTTAATTTTATGAAATGAAATGAGTGTGCAACTTGTTGCTTTTTAAAAACCTAGATTATTTAACAGTCAACAATGAAGTGGACAAAACTTACGTACTAATGGGGGAAATAAAATATATTAAACTTACATGAAAGACTAAAACTGCACGCTCTGTTTCAGATCCAGAGTTACGTGATTTGTGGTAGATTAGCCCTAAATTTCACTTGGCTTTGAATTTAAAGCCTCTTCGTGAGATATTTAGCACTGATCAAATTCTTTACGCATGGAAAAGGAAGTAGGTCCTAAACTCTACGGGAAATCTCATTTTTAAGGTATTTTTCTTTTAGCACTTTATAAAAATATATTTTGAATATAATTCAACTGTCTTGGACAGGAATTGACCTTTTAAATCAATTCCCAGATACCCAACATTTGCCAGCTAAAACAAGTTCTGCAGATGTTAATGGCTCATGTCACTCCCGTGAGTGAATAGACAGAGAACACATCGCTGGGTGTCTCTAGTGAGGACAACTGCCAGTCTCGAATCTCTCCTTTCAGTTTTTTGTGCTGATCAGGCGTGGGAGCCCAGGACTCATTGACTGTTTGTAAGCTGCTGTTTAACATGCAGAAATGCTCCATGAGGAAAATGTCTGTGAAGCTTTTAACTGCCACGCCTCTGCTGGGATGTGGAACTCAGAAAATAATACCAGGAGAGGCAGGTCTGAAGTTTCTTTGCTAATAAAGGAATGGCCTGGAATGCTACGGGTTTCATAGATTATCAGCAACAAGTGCTTTTCCCATTGCTGTAGCGCCAGGAGCGTCACTATCTAGCTCCTTCATTGCCATAAATTACAGCCAAACACACACACACAGACTTGGCAGGTGCAGTATAAAATGCTTACTTGTGGTGGCCGCCCAGCAGCAGCCCTAGGTGTTCATTGAAATCACTGGCTCTTTTCTAAAGGGATTTTTTTTCCTCTGTAATAATCTGACTCCTTCCTAGCAAAATAGGACCTTTTCTTTTCAAACGATTGGTCGCATCCAGGTTTTCTGCTAAGATCCCAAAACAGTGTAGTGTTTCTCGGTTCCGGAAGCTTTGATTAAAGTCAAAGAGGTGATACTTTCCGAGCACATTGTGCTGGGATATGGATTTCTTGTGAATTTAAATAATCTCCATACCTCCCCAGAAAGACTGGTATTTTCTTTCTGCATCCATGGTTCTGGTTGAATCAAAGGAGGGGCTTTTATGTGTTTATAGTCATTTAGGTGTTGTTTCATTTAGTACAGGCTATGTTTCTAATACATCTTTTAACTACAAATCAGACTAGCTTGAAATCAGCCTTTCCGTAGACTTCTTCACTATCAAAGACCTTCTCTTTCTCCTTTAAAATATGTAAACTTGAATGCCAAAATATTTGTATGAAGGTGTAGGGTACTACATTGAAGGATTCTGTTCATATTCTAGTCATGTCTCCTTTTTTTAAAAAAAAAAAAAAGAAATTGGAATAAGAATTTTTTAATGCAGGAAGATAATTTGTAAAAACATGTTCACGTACCTTTCAATAGGAGAAGTAAAAAGTTAAAAATGTGATAGCTTTCCACTTAAAAAGTTCTGCATTTCTTTCATAAAGCAGTTAAATTAGGCATTTTTAAATGAACTTTGAATGCAGACATATTCATTTATTTGCAAACTATTTTGAATGTTAAGCTTTCTGTAAATATGACTTGATTTGAGGGAGGTTCTTAAATTTCAAGCTCTTAGTGGCATTTGAATCCAGACCAAATGTTACATACAAAGCTAGGAGACCATTCACATTTACAAATGTTTACTCACACACAAATTTAACATGATTTTCTCATTGGATATAGCATTGATGATTGCAGGTACATTTACGACTATAAACTTTTGAATCAAGTCCTATCCATTAGATAATTTGGTATGCATCTTTTTTTCAGACCAACAGTGATTGGACCACATCTTCACAGACTAATGAGGCCATAATTTGAAACTTTGTGTTTAAAAATTCCACATATTTCCATCATACTCTAAGATATCTCAAAGACATTCTTAGTGTATATTGCTGCAATAAGTCACAGTCCCCTTCAGGGAGAACATTACTATCACCCGAAGTATCACAAATACGTATTTACATAATCCACATCTGAAGAAGGCCAAATGTGAAAACACAACAGAGAGCATTAAAGCCCGTCTTGTCACCTTGTATCTACTCACGCTTAAAAAAAAAAAAAAAAAAAAAAAAAACACTCTAAGGAATAAACCTAACTTCATATAAACATGCTAAGTTCTTTTAAAGCAAGCACAAATGAATGACCTGGCTTCTAGTTTAGGGCAAATGTTCAGTTTTTGTCTGTAAACAGATGGAGCAAAGCAAGCAAGAATTTCAGATTTGACTCTGATTCCTATGCTTCTGTTATTGTTGTTGGTAATGTGTGTTACAACCCTAACACAATTTGGACTTATTTTTCATGTGCTATGCTGCTTTGTTTTCTTTTCCATCTCATGAAGCAGACATTCGTTTTTATATATGTTCAATCATTCCTTTCCACTATAAAAAGGAAAAAGATCAATGTGGGTACAGAAGCTCTTCATAGGGAGGCCAGCCTGGGTACATATTGATAAATGGTGAATTTGTAGCAATTCATGCTTCCATAATGAGGTTAAATGAAACGTGAAGTGTAGCAAAGTCCCTGCAACTCTGATTCAAAAATTCACTTGACTGGCACCTCAAGACTGCTTTCCTGCAACAGGTTTTGTTGTTGTTTTGCTTTGGTTTTGTGTATGTGTTTACGTAACCTCCTTGCCGGGCTAGACTTTTTACTCTTCCAGATCAGCTTGATTTTTAATTACATTTTAGGTCTGCTTTTCTAAAAGCAATCTATGTATTATTGACTTACTAATATTCACTTTAATTTTCCGTTTGTCTTAAACATGTTAGAGAAAGGTTTTTTTATATTGCCTTTCATTTTGTATCCAAAGTTAAGGCTGCTGTTTTTAAGAAGAACATTATGCTTTATTACTTGAAGATTTATGCTTAATCAAAGCATAAATTCAAGTGACCAAGTATTTTTAATATATAAATTCAAATTTCACTTTTGGATGGCTATAATTATCAAGAAATATTTAAAAAGCTTATAAACTTTAACCCATTCATTCTACTTCTAAGAATTTATCCTTAAAAAGGGGAGGGGGGCCACAAGAAAATTTTTGGAGGTGATGGATAATGTATATTACCTTTATTATGGTGACAGTTTCACCAGTGTACACATATGTCCAAACTTAGCAAATTGTATACATTAACTGTGTGCAGTCTTTTGTGTACCAATTATACCTTAATAAAGCTTTTATTTACAAAAAAAATAATCCATCCTTAGAAAATAGAGATGTATAGGTTTTCTGTACAAGAATATTTTGTTCAGAATTATGTATAATGGCAAAAACTGAGAGCAAACTAAATATCCCAAAATAGTTATAGTCACTCTATAGAGGATGTACATCTACTAATTTCATTTTAAGGGGTATGTAACAACTTAAGAAAATTTATATTATATAATGTTCAGCGGGAAAGGAGCATGACATGACATCATATACAGTAAGTTTCCAGTAAGGTAAATTTGTGAGTGTATATAAATGACCTATATGAATGCAGCCAACACAGAAGAAAACTGTGATTATATTATTAGAGGAAATCATTTCATTTTCTTAACAAATGTATTTTATATAATCAAAACAACAGTTTCTCTCTTTAATTGCCAAGAGGTATTTATCTCTTTAATTACCAAGAGATAAATATTTTAAAAAGGAATTAAAGCTCTAAAAATATAAGGACAAAATATATTCCCTAAACTGCCTTTTAGAAAATAAGGTTATATTTAATTTTTTAAATGTATGATTGCCTATTAATATGATTCCTTTTTGACTGAAACTCATTCTGACTTAAATAACAAATACCTTCTGAAAGCATCCCTTCAAATTAGAAAGCAAAACAAAGAAATGCCATTTTCAAGAAAGTTGTGAAAATTCTATGTTAATACTGCTGTTATGCAGCAGTTGAGTTTTTGGATTCTAAGCAATGCATTTATGGTTTTTTGTGTTCTAATTTGGGGGGTTTGGGGTTGTTTTCTTCCTAGATCTGGTTTGCCTTTGTTAATGGCTTTTCTGGACAGATCCTCTTTGAGAGATGGTGTATAGGTCTTTATAATGTGGTAAGTTTAAGACATTTGATTATTCCTGTTTTATTAAATACTTTGCGATAAAGGTTCACCCTGCATTAGGCTGCTTGGAGTAATGACCAGTGTGTGCCCTTTAGATGTTTACAGCAATGCCTCCTTTAACTCTCGGAATATTTGAGAGATCATGCAGAAAAGAGAATATGTTGAAGTATCCTGAATTATACAAAACATCTCAGAATGCCCTGGACTTCAACACCAAGGTAGGACACACTGGCCCGGCATATTTGGGGTGGGCAGTGGGACTCGCTTCACTATTTTAATTCCGTGGGGCGTCTGGTCTTCCAAAGCCATGGAAACGAACTCCGGGGTACTGAGTGTGGCAAGTCATCTTTCCCGAAGGTTCTGATGTGGACTCAGAAGGGTTTTTATTTGTTGTTTTCTTATAAAATTAATGCATAACCACAGTTCACTAGGGTTTGCCAGGCAGCAGTAAATTGGGTCTGAAAGACAGACACGAGTGTCCCTTTGGCCCTCGGACTTTCTATCTTTGCAGTGTTGTGGGGAAAGGCTCACTCCTCGCAGGGGTCAGTCATCCAGGACCCACAGGGTCTGTCTTTACATGTGTAAAGTGGTGGGGGGGGGCAGGGATGGGCATATATCGTTCTTTGTTAATTTTCTGTTTTGCAAAATCACTTTGACCCTATTAGAATATTAGATTGCATTATAATCTCTGGTCAGTAACTCATTTAGTCATAATACTCAGTATTTCCAAGCCATAAAATTTTAAATACAAGATAAAATATCTAACATTTTATCTAAAATCACATTCTGAGTTTATATCCTACATAACACATCACAGACTATTTGTCATCCCTTGGGGTCTGTGGTATTTATTCACCCCAACAACAACAAAAAAAACATTTTCCTCCAAGTTTAGATTCTGAAGTCTTTCCAATGGCATTTGTTAGTCATTGAGGATTCTGTTCAGAGAGAAAAAATGTTTAATTTTATACCAGTCAAGGCAGATGCCATTTTGAAACTATAATAAAAGCAACAAATATAATACACCTTCACAGAACTATTCCCATCTAATATAGGGGATGTTTATTAGCGTGTCACTAATAATCAGATGTAATCAGTGCTTCAAATTTAGGACAGTTAATGTAGGATATTTTTAATGTTTATTAATTTGCAAAGCTCTCAAATGATGTTTATTCTCAGTGTACCAAGAGAATAAAGCAGACAGGTGCTTCAGCTCCTCGAAGCTGTAAATGACAGTGCCAAGTTGATAGCGGGGATGTTATTCGTCTTTTGAGACGAGGTCTTCCTGAGCTCACTGTGCATGCCTGTCCAGGTGTGCACACACAACTTGTTGGCATTGTTTAAATAACTGAACTTGGTTAATTAAAAACAAAAAGCTGAGAAGTGACTTAGACCATTGGTTCTGAGAAGTATTTTTAATGGTCTCTTAAAACAATTAGTAGTTACAGTATGCAATATCTATGCTTTTATTTTTTAATGTTTTATTTTGGCTTTTTTTTTTGAAATTTATCTATGATGTCCAGTTTGTATTAAATCGCACCACCTTGCTATAATGTTTCTTGTTATCTGTGGTGGGTATTTCCAAGGAATGGTAGGACACAGGACAGATACAGTGGACTGTGAACTCTTGTTTTTCTGAAAAGGTGATTTGAGAGCTGAGAAAGTGCCAGGCCCTACTGGCATACTAACAGTAATTCTCACTGACCTGGACAGTGGTATCACCCTCAGCCACAAGTATCCAGTCTACCATAGCTCAGGCTCCACGATGCTCTCTCAAGAATTAACTTCCCAGACACAAACTTCGCCATGGTACTCTTGCTTATAAACAGAAATCGATCCTCACAGAATTATCCAAAGCCATTCCTGGAAAGTCACATCTTTTCATACCCTTTGCACATGGCAACTTGGACAGTCTTGCGGCCAAGGAAAACGCAATCTGTAGTTTTAATGTGGAAGCATCATTCCTTGTGTCCTTTGCCGTTCTTTTGTTATTTACAAAGTACTTCATTATCTGCAGAGCCCATGCATTTTGAAAAGTCATCAGATCAGCCCACATGGATGTTCCAACTCCTCTGTCCTTTGAATATTTATACATAAGTTGCCAACCATTTTTTTTATAGCCTATGTGGATGTTCTAATGATTTCTGTGAAAAATCTTTGATGAAATCCCTTCCAAGTGTTTTAAAATTCAGGGACGACTGGCGATAAAATGCAGAGTTGTATACACGGCGGCAGTCGCTGTGGGTCCCCATTGTAGGAGCATTGTTGCCCTGAATGATGATGATTACGTTTGTTATGGTAAAAAGGGTCGGAGGTTCTGAGGTCCTGACAGGGGTTAAAGGATTAGCATGTGACAATAAGTATCGGTCAGGAAAATGGAAAAGTAGAACTAATTTTTCTTGCACCCACCTGTGCTTTCTGTCAAATAAAAACTTGTGGTAATGACATAGTGAGGAGAAGAGACAAAGGTTAATGAGTAACACAAGTTCAAATGTGTAGCGCATTGGAGCGTAAATTGGATCATACGACCCAGTGTGGCTGGGTGAACTAACAAAGGAGACTGAGGTCACGGTGGAAAATTTGGGGGGCAGGCAACTTAATTTCTGTTGTTTGAACAGCTTAAGACTATTAATACATGCCAATTTTATTTAGCGAAAGTTTTGCTTGCAAGAGGCACTTTTAAATGACAAAACTGCAACTCTTCAAAGGGCCATAGGAATTCTAAACAGGTTTTCTATAACTTAATCTTTCACATCCTTGCTACAAAGAAAGTACCAGGGATAGATACATGCTCCCTTGCTCTTAAAACACAATAGATATAGAAAAGTAATAACTATTCAGTGATGTTATAATTGTAGGAAATTCGATGTTGACAGGTGTTAAAAATTGTGGAAGCCTTTTGCAAATTCAGTAATAGCGACAGTGCTTTAAGGAATTACACGACTTAAGCGGTATACCTGTTATTTTTGGTATGTAGTGTGTGTGTGTGTGTGTGTGTGTGTGTGTGTGTGTGGAGAGGTGGGGGGAGAGAAAAAGAGAATTCATTATTTTCTCACCATTGAAAAGTGTACACTTTTACTGCACATGGGAAAGAGAAAGTAGCGATTTCACCAGATTAGTCTTTTCAAAAGTCTGTTCTTCGAGAATTATGAAAATAGTCCCACCTAAAGAATTGCAGCACCTACATTTCTTTTAAATATTATTTTCTTTTTCAGGCAGAAATTTAAACTTTTAATACTCGGTTTTTAAAAAGCAGAAAAAATTTTCAGTGAAGCTGAAAAAACATTTTGGGAAACATAAAAATAAATAAATGACCCATGAAGGTCTAAGAGGCAGAAAGTGTCTGTCAGTTCTATTAATTCACAGTGGTGGCCCGACAGAAACACATTTTGTGAATCTAGCTCACAGATAAAAAGAAAGGTCAGAGTTCACAGAGCTAGTTTATCGCAAGTGGTTCTCATGGATTTTTGTTTTCCCTCAGGTTTTCTGGGTTCATTGTTTAAATGGCCTCTTCCACTCAGTTATTCTGTTTTGGTTTCCACTAAAAGCCCTTCAGTATGGTAAGTAGAAAGGATATAAATGCTAAGAGATGACTTTTTACATTTTTAGAAAAATAACTCATTGTCAATATAGGTTAAAAATTATAGCAGATTTTCATTTTATGCTGTTTTCCTTAACCTAAAATACATGCATCCAAAAGCTGTACACACTTTAAAGATTTTTATTACTCCTTTGGGAGCAAAGTGATTTAATATATGCAAAGCCTTTCTTCTCTACTTCTCATGTTTTCCAAACTTGCAGAGTTAAATTTTAGGACTTTTTTTCCCCTTCTGTCAATGTATAGTTTGAAGACAACAGTGCTAATATTTTATGTAGTCCATTTATTATACGTACGAGGCTTGCACCAAACTCTATACTGAACCTGATCAGAAATGTTTGTGTTTTCAAGTATACGTGAGCCGATGTTTTGAATGAGATTTTTTCATATGTTTTTATGTTCATCTTGGAATGGAAGCTTTTCCTCAGCTTGTTTTGAGGGAGTGATTTTATTCTGTCAGTTTGGAGAGAGGGGAGCACGGTGAATTTCCTATGCCCGTAAAAATGATGAAGTAGCCACTCGACAAAAGAGATTTCCTGGGATGCTGTGTCCCCCGAGCAGACCTTACCCTGAGATCCTCAGGAAGGCAGCCGGCCGCTCCGGGCCTCTGCTCCCAAACGACAGGAAATAAAAACATGACACATACTCCATCAGAGGATCTGTCAGTCTTTTAGAAGCAAAGGCCTTACCTGGCTGGCTGGGCGTTAACGACTGCCCACAGAGGAACGTCCTGTACATCCCTCCTTGCCCACCTGCAGTCTGTTCTCCACAGGCAAGGTGGTCCTTGCAAAACGTAAACCAGACCAGGTGCCTCCGTCAAGTTTAGAACAAAATGCACAGCACTCATCGTAGTTAATCCTTCCACCTGAGGGAGCTCCACCATGTCCCCCCCACCCCCGTATCACCTCCCCACCATCACCATGCTCCATCCAGCCTGCCACTGGCCTACACTTCTTCCTTCCTCCCCCTCTAGAGAGTCCAGCTGGCTCTCTCCCTCACTCCCTCAGGCTTACGCTCCCAGAGAGCTACCAACACCACCCTCCTCTGCTCCCGCTGCTTCTCCTCATTATCCTTCATCTTCTCTAGTGTGTCTTCACCAATCAGGGTGTAATACATTTGCTCCTTTTTTATTGTCTCTCTCCCCTGTTAGAGTCAAAGCTCCCAAAGAGCAGAGAATGGTCAGTGTAGTTCAGTGTTGTGTTTGCAGGGCTTAGAACGGTGCCTAGCTAGTCGCCAGCGCTCAGGAACCTGTCAGGGCCTGCATGGGGTGAGTGTTACAAGGAGGGTGGGACCCTTCGTGTCCTAATCAGAGATTTTGATCTCATTTCTTTGTTAATTTCTCTGCCGGTACACCACGTACTTCTCATGTTCTAAGCCACGGAAATGAGTGGTAAGAAAATCCAACTAAACTACAGCCTATTGACTCTAATAGGCCAGGAGAACCACAACGGAATTTTTTTTTTTTTTTGAGATATAATTCACATGCCATAGAATTCACCCTTTTAAATTGTACAGTTCAGTGGGTTTTTCTTAGTATATTCAGAGAATTGTACAAATTCACCACGATGCAAGGCCAGAACATTTCCATCACCCCATAAAGAAACCCCACACCCATTAGCAATTACTCCCCATTGCTCCTCACCCCGAGTCCCTGACAACCACTAATTGTTGTCTGTGGATTTGCCTATTCCGGACATTTCATAAGAGTGGAATCATGGAATATGTGGCCTTGGTCCATTCATGTTGCAGCATGAATTAGTACTTCACTCGTTCTTATGGATGAATGATATTCCCTTGTATGGATTTACCACATTTTGGTTATCCCCTCATCTGTTGATGAACAGTTAGATTGTTTCCACTCTTTGAAGCCATGGGATATTGTATAATATAGGACCTTAGACAGTTTCTCTCGGTAAAGTTCATTTTCAAATAGCAAAATCAATATAGGTATGAAAGACTAGGCATGTCCATCTCTTGCTATTTCAACATTCTAAAATAGAAAAAGGAAATTTAATGTCAAAAGTATCTCAAGCCAAATAGCGCATAAAATGCCTTCACAAGTGACAGGGTTTGAAAGGAATTCCCAAGTAACTCCAGCTCCTAGAGAGCAGATCCTAGGGCTCTCTTGGCCTTTGGGAAACTGCCCAAGCCTGCCACCTTCAGCGGAGGCAGTTCGTGAAAGGTGCCGCCGGGAGAACCCAGACCTAGCCAAGTCCAGGGCACACATGCTTTCTCTTCTTAAGACATGAATGGTGTATGGCATAAATTACATTTTAACCTTCTAATGTTGAGGGGTTTGTTGGGGTCTTGCGTTGTTTTTAACTTTTAAATAAGGAGAGGTTTGGGGTTTTTTTTTGTCTTTTGAAAGGACGGGGTGCACAAGAAATGTAAGAGTATATAAAGTGCAGCTAAATATGCGTTAATACACTCGCTTCGGCGGTTCCCAAAGTACGGCCTGTAGACACCTTTATAAATACCCATGATGACCTTTCTGGGGTACCTGATGTCAAAATTTCAAAATTTTTGTAGTATTATCCAGACATTATTTTTCTTTTTCATGCAAGGGTGGGTAAAACTGCTGGTACCTTAGCACAAATAGTGGTTCCACTATACTAGTGGGCATGATATTCTTCCCTGCCATGCACCCACATTAAGGAAACAACAACCAAAGCCAGTCTCACTTAAGAATGCCCTCGAAGAAGCTGTAAAGCTAAAACATTTATTATATCTTGAAACCTGGTGCACAGCTCATTAATATTCTGTGTGACACAATGAGAAGTGAGCAGAAAGCCCTTCTGCACACCAGTGAGAGTCGTACCAGGCAGGATGCCCTGTGGACCATTCAAGTTGTGAGCTGCACCAGCTGCTTTCATGAGGTTACAGAATCCTGCATGAGTTGAAGGTCCACCCAAAGCGTCAAGGGGAGCCATTGGCTTTAATGTAATAGAGTGCTGTAAGTTCACAATACAGTTTCAGGTTGCACACTCTAACCTCTAAGAAACCACTTGTCGAATTTTGATGTAGTATCAAAGAATATCCACACTCATGAGAAAAGATTATTAAAACACTCCTCTCCATGAAGCTGAATTTCCCTCATATATTTCAACCAGAATATGAGAATCCAGCTGCCTTCTCTTGAACAAGACATTAAAGAGATTATAAAAATATAAAACAAGGCCAATTTTCTCACTAACCTTTTTTGTTTGGGGAAATATTATTTATAAAATCTGTATAAAATATGTATGGGGTTTATTACTATTATCTTTAGATAAATCAGTACATATTTTTTAATATTCTGCCTTAATTTCTAACTTGGTAAATATCGATAGATATAAACCACATAAACAAAAGCTTTTGGGGATACTCAATAATTTCTAAGTGTAAAAGAGTCTAGAGACCAGAAAGTACAAGAATGAATGGTTTACCTGAATCGGCCAAATGCTGAATCTGACAAACCCCACAACAGGCTTTTTAATTTCTTTCTCAAAGTGATCTTGAAATGACTCTTTGGCTCCTTCGTGATGAACCAGTCATCACCAGAAAGCCTACTTGGACCCAAATATTATTTTTGGATAACTTGTATACATTGGTTAAAGGACCAGTGTAAAAGCATGGAAGTCAGGACGTGATCATGAGATATTTTCAGGTATTTCATAAATTTCTGAGTATGTTAATTTGGTTGTCTAGATATTTGCAGATTAATAGCAGATACAGGTTTGTAAACAGTGTGCTCAAAAGACATAGCACCTCAAGGCACACCTGAGACTCAGTTGGTTGAGCGTCCGAATCTTGGTTTCAGCTCGGGTCATGATCTCAAGGTCGTGGGATCAAGTCCTGTGTCAGGCTCCATACTGAGGCTGCTTGGGATTCTTTCCCTCTTCCTCTCCTTCCCCCTCTGTCCCTCGCCCTCCTCTCTCTCTCTCTCTCTCTCAAATAAATCAAATCTTAAAAAAGACCTAGCACATCACATCCTGTATCCTTAATCATGGAATACCTCTACAGAGAAAAGGAGTCTCCTAGATTGCTGGGCTGTTAAGCAGCCCTTCCTGACTGTTTCTAACCAAAGACTTTAGAGGGGTTAGAGCCACAACCTGGAGCATCTGCCACGTGCACCCAGCACTGGCGCATTGAAACCTCATTTTAATATTAAAACCCCTCCAGGGTGGTCGTTTCATTCCATCTTTTTAAGTGAAGAAACAGTTCCCTTGGAGACGGATTATAAGCCAACATTGACACAACTGGTCACAGAACCAAGGCTGGTCTGTGTCTCCCAAACTCACCCAACTATTCCTTCTCTCCGTACTGGCACCACTCAGCCTCTCTTGTCCCATACTTTATTCTAATGGGTTTTGTCCTTACATACGAGATTTTGAATAAATACTGTTGAATATTTGCATAAGTAAGATATTATACTGCATATGCCATGCGTTTTAAATTTTTCCATGGTGCCAATGATTTAATTATTCAGTTATTTTTAATTTTTTATTTTTTTTAATCAGTAGTCATGATTTTTGTTAGCTACCACGCTCTTCATCTAAACACAGTTGTTAGTCATTGCTGGATAACAAAATACTTTAAAAATATGTGCCTGAATTCAGCCAAACCTTCCAAGAGCCATATGCCTGGACCCATATTGGTGCTCTTCAGTCTTCTGTGATTTGCATTTATGAATCCCTTTTGGTCTGATGCCAACAACTTCATTGAGAGAAAGTAAGAAGTCTCCCTAAGACTCTCATCTATATTTTTTTTTTTAAATTTTATTTATTTATTTGACAGAGAGAGAATGAGAGCAGGAACACAAGCAGGGGGAGTAGGAGAGGGAGAAGCAGGCTTCCCGCTGAGCAAGGAGCCCGATGGAGGGCTCGATCCCAGGACCCTGGGACCATGACCTGAGCCGAAGGCAGACGCTTAACGACTGAGCCACCCAGGTGCCCCAACTCTCATCTATATTGTTAACAAAATTCTTTGTTAAGGTTCAGGATGTTTTCTCCTATCTTCAATGCCTGTAGAATTAGGCTTTCCTTGAACAATTAGTTTGATTTTTTTTTTCCACCTCATGGATCCTGAGAATTGGTTAACAAATCAAGTTTCCTCCTTCATGTTGGCTATTGGAAAATTGTTTTTAATTTGTGACCCACATTTATAACAACTTTGTGAAACTTCTTATAATTTTTTTTTTAATTAGCCTGGTTTGATTCTGTGATGTGACACTTGGTTCTCCTTCTTTTGTTCAACAATTATAAACTGATTTATCTTTGAAAGAATTCTGAAAGGATCTCTTTGATTTCCATTTCTAATAAGCCTCTCTTCTTGTCATGCAGGTAATGTATTTGGAAATGGGAAAACCTCTGATTATCTGCTGTTGGGAAACTTTGTTTACACGGTGAGTACAGAGCATTTGCCTAGTTTGTATATAAAATCAACTCCTTTCATATGTGCTCCTTTTGTTGTCAAATCTAACTGTGCGCCATTTCTGAACATAGGGTTGTTTGCACTTCCCTTTAAAAATGAAATAAGATGTTTTGACTATTAAGAGATTATTTTATGTTGGGTTATTAATATGTCACAGGCTCACTGACTTGATGGGACTTTGGTTGCTATTATTTTCAGTATTCCTCTTTCCTCTTAGTGCCCCCCCATTTCCCCTTTTTCTCTTCCTTGTCTCTTTTTCTTCATTTTTATTTTACTGCCCTTGTTAATTTTTTTTTTTTTTTGCTTTCCTGAATTTATGGCAAATATTATCATACTGTTCTTGGGTGTTTAACCAGTAATGATTCTAGAGTCTCATGAGAACTAAAATGGGAGAAAAATCACTCTTTGGGGACATTCCATTCACACAAGGCATGGAACCCGCTGTGTTAAGTCACTATCCAAACTCTTACAGAGGACACACACATGAGTACAAGCCCGTTCCTGCCATAAAGGGCCAAAAAATGTTTTAAAACCACTTTTCCCTTAGAGAAAAAGCACTACTTGGATGCTAATGCCTGAGGTCACGTAGTTGGTGTCTGGTAAGTTTACTATACCCTTCAACACTGAATTCTCAGGCTGATGTTCCTTCTTCTAATTCTGTGTCCCTCAAATGAGGGCCGTGTGCTGCTCCAAATACTAAGCAGCTGTCAGCATGGCTGACTCAGTTGGGAGAAAAAACATAACACAATGTTTAAATATCAAGTGTTTAGGTTACTGAATGATGATAGGCCATTGAGGCCATTAAGTAACAGAGGGATGAAGTTATTTTCTGGAAGTCACCTTTCCATTGACATCAACCCACGGAAGTAGTAACAGGAAGGAAAAATATGTTTGGAGGGCTGGTGACTTGGGTCTCCTACAACATAAGTGTAAAACAGAAATAAGTACTCAATAGAGTCAGTTTAGAAATTAATCCGAGGATAGAGCAGGGATGTCTCTCAGGGATGCATTGAGATACTCAGGTCTCAGGAGGGTGTTTTTCTTTAATTTTATGTCAAACTATATCTCTTAGTTTTGAACTTTTTATATAGATCATTAACAAGTACTTACATTTTCATAAGAGTTTTACTGCTACAGATATTAATCCTAAATCGCCGTTAGAGATCTTGCTGAGAAGGCCCAAATGCCTCACCTGAGCCTGACTTTCTGACCCCGTGGGGAAGGCACTAACGCTCTTTGCAAACCTGAACGTATAGGCCAGCATCTCACTTTCACCACCGCAAACTACTGGAAGTGTCTAGAATTCCGTTGACTACTAACAGTATTTAAAATTTTATTTTTAGGGCGCCTGGGTGGCTCAGTTGGTTAAGCGACTGCCTTCGGCTCAGGTCATGATCCTGGGGCCCTGGGATTGAGTCCCGCATTGGGTTCCCTGCTTAGTGGGGAGCCTGCTTCTCCCTCTGACCCTGCCCCCCTTGTGCTCTCTCTTTCCCTCTCTCATTCTCTCTCTCTCTCAAATAATAAATAAAAATTTTTAAAAATATTCAAAAAATTTTTTATTTTTAATTATACATAGCTAATAACAGATTACAGTGCTATGCCCTCTTCTTGGTGTTTTATACTACCTGCCCTCTGAGGCAGGTGATCTTTATCGGGCCCAGTTTACAGATGAAGGAGCTGAGACCCAGATGTCAAGTTACTTGCCTTGTTCCTTAACTAAACACCTAATAAATGGTGGAGCCTTGAGCATGAATAGTCTGACTCCAGGGCAAGTCCAGTTAACCCTTGTGCCACCCTCTGTAAAACCCCGGGCTGTTCATTAAACCTAGTGTCCCTACTTCGGAATTAATAGCAGGGTCAGCGATGATAATGGGTGTGTACATCCTGGAGGGTATTAACAAGCTTTTATATCCTGATCTGGAGGGTTGTAAGTAAGTCACGTTACAGAGTAAGTGTTTAGGTTTCTAAATATCCAGTTATATTACTTTTAGAAGTTATCTTGAAAATTCGGAAAGTAGGGGCTTTAAGTTTTACAGATGATATACAATGAAAGCAAGCTTGAAAATCCAAGTTACTGCAGATGTATATTCATCGTTCACGAGTGAATCCACACAGACCTCGTGGATGGAAGTGTGCAGGAGAGGAGAGCAGCAGTGGGATGCTGCTCATGGGCCCTCCTGACCAGTCACTGCCATCATGGGCAGGCACCCAGCTCATTCACCTGTGTCTTTGCTTGGTGGACATACAAGGCAAGCTGTGAATAATCGACCAGTCCCACAGTCTCATTCACAGTGTAATACCTGGTCTTTATAAACCTCCTTTTAGTCATTTGAACTAACACATTTATGAGATAAAATAACATTTTCCATTCTGTTTTAGTTTGTGGTGATCACCGTGTGTTTGAAAGCTGGATTGGAAACCTCATATTGGACATGGGTAAGAGCGTCTCTAACCACAACCGAGGCATGTCACATTTACTTATGTGTTATCACGAACATCACTGTTCTTCATTCTAACTTTATGAATCCCTGTACCCTCGTTCCACTGGTTGATTGTTAATCATGAGTGGTCTTGGGTGGAGGGGGAGGAACTGGGAATTCTAGTTTGTCTAGTTTGGAAACAGTAAAAAAAAAACACCTAAGTTTATTGACCACAGGATTTTCAGACCCTTTAATATATTATTGTGAATATCCCAGGAAGGAGAGAGGCTTCCAAACCTGACTAAGAATCTTTTCTTGGTAGAGTGTGTCACAAGACGCATTCCACGGAAAACCCGTTGGAAAATGATACAAAAACAGGCGATATGAGCAAAAAAATTTGTCCTCGGACATTTGTAAATATCCAGTATGGATAAAACAAGTTCCATTTTAGAATGTTAGTTTTGAAGTAGAGAGACCCAGGAAACAAGGAAATGAAAGTTTGATGTGCAGGGTAAAGATGGGCCCAAGAAACCTGGATTGGACAGTCACCGACACACACGTGTATTCTCACAGGGGTCTAGCCCCTCCCGGAGAGAGCACAAAGAGCAGAAATAAAGGAGGTTAAAGATGGTAGTGGAGAAAGAAAGAGGAGAGTCAGGAGAGAGGCCCCCAAAGGAGGTAGAGAGGGAACAGTTGTAAATGCCAGTACCACAAACATCCTAGTGGTTGGGGAAGACATTAGCATCAGCGCTGATGAAAGATCCAGTTAAAACACACACGCGTCATTATTTAGAAATTCCTATAGAGAATATTTTATGGATGAAGTAAAAAATTAATGTGGGCACTTGCAAAAAGCTTCATTAGTGTGTGTGTGTACTCAGTCTCCCTAAAAGTCTGTGACTCACATTCCCTTCCTTCACAGTTCAGCCACATAGCGATTTGGGGCAGCATCGCACTCTGGGTGGTGTTTTTTGGCATCTACTCATCTCTGTGGCCCGCCGTTCCGATGGCCCCCGATATGTCAGGAGAGGTAATGTGTCCTAATAACTCATGACCCAATAAATCTGAAAAATTGGTATTCGTTAATGAGCCTTAATCGTTCGGCTTGGATTTATATTAAAACAGTATTTGACCATTTCAAAGCTATTTTTAAATTCCACAGTTGCGAGTGATAAATCTTGAGAGAGAATATTTTACACTTGGACATTTTACTTAAATCTGACTTATCCTTTCAAAAACATAGCAAAAACCATAAAATATGGTCGTCAGGGGCTTGAATCATGTTAAGAATCTCCATATAGAAGGTGCCATTTTAAAATTAGACTGTAAATCAACAGATACATTTTGGAGAAGAGATTCGGGGAAATGGTGAGCTTATGTCTTTGGGACAGTCTATCATTTCTTCTGTTATCTCTTATTCTAAAGAAAAGTCTACTGTCACTGGATTAAATGCACTTTTTTAGCGTCGTCTTAAATGATACCGGCTTGGTTTTCATTTTGAACAAGTTAGGGCATCTGACGTTTCGGCCTTATCACAGTCCATTTTCAATCCTGTCTTTCAGTTTCTTGTTACACCAGTAGGAATTGAGTTATTAGGTGTTCATGGGGAAGTGTCACAAGATCTCCTTTCCTTCAGAAGAGATTCCAGCAGTAGGAGAGTTTATGATTTCAATTGCAGGAAATTTGACATAAAATGTATAAAAGAAAATGTGGAAAACATTTCAGGATTTCCTGTGACCTCACAGTAACTTGCAAATCAAGGAAATGTGAGCTGCGTTACAGTACACTGTTGTCCTGCAGCCCCAGGAAAGCCTTCCAGTGGTTTCCATGGATTTGTTGCCCCTAAGTACTGCCTGAGTACATTTCACTTTTGACAGTCTGGTTTATAGATCATTTTCATGAAATTTTATCTGACAGCATCCTGCTTTTTATAAATTAGCAGAACGCAGACACATTTTAAAAAAAATTTGTGGTTAAATTTATTAGAGAGAGGTATTATATACTATTACAGCGAAACCAGACATATCAAGGAGCAAGGACTTCCTTCCACCAAAAGTGAAGGCCGCTTTTGAAACATGTACTGTGAACTCTAGAAGATTTACAGCATGTATTTTGAGGAAAACAGAGAGAAAGCTATGAATGCACCTCCTCCTTACCTTGGTTTGAGCCCTTTTTCCCTGAAGAAATAAAATTGAAGACCATATGTGTCTGAAGATGCCACTTGGAAAATCAATTCTATTCTTTGTGCCTATTTGATGTGCTCTGTCTGATTGGACCTGCTTTTCCCTGAGGTTAATTTAATATCATTTTCACTAGGCCTCATTTTATCTCATTTCTTAATGTTTTAGCTTCAAAATGCAGGACACAAAAGATGTTGAGATTCAGATAGTTTAGGCAACTCTAGCCAACAGCTTTGATGACAAGAGCAGAGTTTCTGACCACCTACTTCTAGAACAAGTGTGAAGTTTGATTGGCTTCTTGCCAACCAAATATAATTCTACCCTTGCCTGTAGAATTCCTGGTATTACCCAAATGCAAAATTTAATATCATCTCTTGGGACTTGCGGTGATGCTGTGTTTAATTCAAAGTGAAATGAATGTCAGTACCCCATCACGTTTTTGTTCACTTCATATACAGTGGGAAGTGCTAACAGGGGTTCTTTTTCTTGTTATTTTATTACTACTAATTCTTTGAATATAATGTTTGAGTAGCTGGGGCTCCGTTGAAAATATGAAGAATGGACTAATTTACCAGTAGGCTTGACTAGCTTGTCCAAAGTGTAAGTCTGTTGAATTTATTCAAAGAAAATACTTTAAATTTATATAGTACTTAGTGCTTACAAAGCATTTTGATATATGTGTATGTGTGCAAATGAGCCTCACAACAACCCCCAAGAAAGGGTTTAACAAGTATGCCACTCAGATTCTCAGAGATAGTTAGTCTACATTTACTGTTTCCTGGGCCTAGGGTAAGATATCCCAGGAAATATTTGTAGCAATACTCAATTTTTGAACATTTTTATTATATGTAGAGAGTCACTAGTTCTATAATCCAGTTAGTTTCAGAAAGAAGTAGCTACCCTTAGGTTTACATTTTTCTAAGCTTAAAATTCTATATTTCAATCAAGAGTATAGCCAGATACAGGGGCACTTGGGCGGCTCAGTGTGGGTTGAGCGGCTGACTCTTGGTTTCGGCTCAGGTCATCATCTCAGGGTCCTGGGCTCGAGCCCCTCACCAGGCTCCACACTCAGCACAAGTCTGCTTGTCCCTCTCCCTCGGCCCCTCTCCCTGCTCACATGCTCTCTCTCAAATAAGTAAATCTTTTTAAAAAAAAAAAGTATATCCAGATACATACATACATGCGTATATACAAACATGCAAATATATGAAAATTTCATTTCATGTACCAATATTTATATCTGTGTGTGTGTATAAAATGGGCCAGCCATCTTGAATAAAATTTACTTACTCATCTGTTAACTTTCATAGCAAAATGCTATTATATATTACATATATTACTGAGTGTTACATATAGTAATACTATAAATAATATCGGTGTCAGTAGAAATATTAGCCTTCCTCAACTTGACATGTTTTATGTAATCCACATAATGAAACATGGCCCAGGGCAGCCCCCAGGATTTAAGACTACTCCACAGGATTTGTGGTGTGGTGTGTAGTAACTTTCTCTCACTACCACTGCTGCAGACACTCAGTGTCCGATCCCAGCTCTGTACCCTAGGACTCTGGTTCCTTCCTGTATCAATGTGGCAGCAACTCCTCCTAAAACAAAACAATTAATTAAATATGGATGTATGTTTTAGTTGCCTAAAAGCTTAATAAGGACCTACAGGATAGAACAGAATTATTAGGGATGGAGTAAGACTGAAAACAGCAGCCCTGCTCCCCTGTCCTGGTTCAGGTGGTATTTTGGAGGGCGATACACTGTGTGGCATCAACAAGACAGAGAAGTTCTTCAAAAAGGCAACCAAGATCTGGGAGAAATAATACCATTAATACCTAATGTGTATTAAACTCCGTATCCCGGGAACTTCTCCAAGTACTTGATATGCAGTCGTTCAGTCAATTCACCAGCTATTTGTTGACGTTCTTCAGTGTGTCAGGCACTGTTCTAGACACTGTGGATTCATTAGTGAATAAAATAGACAAAAATTCATGTACTTCTCAGCCCGCTTTTCTAGTGGAAGAAGACAAAATAAGTGAAATATATAGACAGAAGTATATAAAGAAAATTACAGCAGGCAAGGGGGACCGAGAGCCAAGCTTCCAAGTCATGCTCCCCACACAGCCTTGTGGCTTTTACTTCTGGTCAGATCAAGAGCCATTGGAGGGACTTGAGAGGGAGGTGTTAGGATCTGACTTAGGTTTTCGGGGCAGGACCATGACTGTTGTGTTATAAACCATTTAAGAGGTTATCCCAGTAACCCAAACGAGAGAGAATGGTGGCATGGGCCAGGCGGACGGTACTGGTGGAAGTGGTCAGATTCGGAATCCCCTTTAAAGGTTGAGCAGGTAGGATTTGCCTGCAACCTGGATAGGAAAAGTGAGAGGAAAAGAATACAAGGCAGACCACATCGCCATCGTCCGTGAACTTTGTCAGGATGTGCTTGTCCTCAATTCACTGGATCCTCACAGCAAACTTGTTATTATAACCAGGTTACAGATGAGAAAACAGGCACAGAGAAGATGCAGAGGTCGAATTCGGCTCAAACAGAGCATCTTTCTAACATCTAGAGAGCCAATAGGTCATGATGTCTAGTGGCAGAAAAGGATGCTGGGCTCATTTAACCACCCGTTTCTGTGCCGAGTGGCCCCTGGTAACACTTCAGCAGAATCTATCATCTGCACCTCCAAGGCTGCCTTCCAGCTCCTAAGATTCAGATCTCTGTGCGCTTCTCTTCACTCTGTTCCCTCCAGAGGAACATCTGAAATGTCGCAAGGGCGCAGACTATTTTGCTCTAGTTAACAGGCTCTGAGGGTGCCAACTGTACACAAATTAGGCAACTTACAGGTACAGGTCTCATGCTTCTATATTCAGATGGATGCATATTCACACATAGGTCAGGATTTTCTCGTCCTTTCCAATTTACATTCTTAGTTCATCTTTGCAGCCCCGTCTGAAGACAGAGCAATTTCTCTCAACGTGTTCAAAGAAAATCCTTGCAGCACTGAGAGGGGATGGTAAGGGAACCAACATTTATTGTGCACACACCATGTCCTCCAGGCACTGTGTGTGATTTCCAGCATTCTTTGTTTTATTTAAATCCATATGATAAACCTTTGTGGTAGGCAAAGTGTGAGCAAGTGGCCCGGAGAATTCACCCCAAGTCTTCTTTTCAAATCCATTGGTTTCCTCTAACATCCTAAGGCTCTAAACATCTTCTCTTTGGGGCCCTTGCTATTCTTTACCCCCAGGTGGGAAATTGTTTTTTTTCTTTCCTTCCTGCAGTCCATCGATATCCCTGATTTAGCTGCTATTCCCCAGATACCCACAGCCCTGATCAGTTTCCCTAAGTGAGCCAGGTACAGACACCTTCCCATCTCTTTTCAGAAGCACTCAGATTTTTAATTCCCCCTTTTCAACACCTACCTAACTCCCTAACACATTTATAGAAATTCCATCTGACTCCATATCCTGGCCGCTTGCCTCTTCTTAACAGCAATATTAGGGTAAATAATACCCAGCTCATTAAAAAACTACTTGTGAAAATGAAAACCCAATCATCCCATTATCATTGGAGAATGCCCAGTTTCCACTCGGATAGTAATAGGGCCTCATTTTCTGAAGGCCAGTCACCGGTATAGCACGTTCCTGGCCTTCACTGCGAGCATTCCCTACAACACGGTGAATTGTATATTTCACAGGCACAGAGTGCTTACACACTGTTCTCAAGGTCACACGGCTTGTGAGTGAGCTGAGACTGGATTCCAGAGTCTGTGCCCTCAACCTCCTTATACACTGTCCTCTGTGCCTTCTACATTTCTTCTCTTCCTTTTCTCATCCCTCTCCACAGAGGCGTTTCCTCCCAGCCTCGTCAGCCTTAAAGATGTGAGATGCATCTTTTGTGTCAGTGGCACCCATCAAAGTACTTGCATCCAGTCGGTACACTAAGGAGCCTGTTGTCTCTACGAATTATTTCTATCGTCAGCCATCCTCAGGAGCTGTACTCATTTCCCACTGATTGAGGGTTCTTTTCACACCACCGTTTCTTTCCCCCTTACTTCAGCACATTCTGCGTGCACGAAGTTCCAAAAATCTGTTCTCCAAATATCTCAGAGTTGAACGCAGTCTTTGGTGACTCCAGCTACAGCCAGATTGGGTGGCTCTCAGTTGGTGGGCAGGGTGTTGCCATTTGGGAACATTCCTTCCTATAGCTTTGCACTTTGTTTCCATTACAGTAATTCTGCATCTCTGTCCAGAATAATGATTTCATGATAATGATTAACAAGTATCCCAGTAACAGGAATTATTGACATATTTAACTGTTACGAGGGAATGCTGACATCAGGGGTGGGGGGGTGGGCAGTGGATTATACAAAGGTGTAGAACATGAAACAATAAGAAATTACTGAAGAGAGGAAAAAGAAAAAGAAAATAGTGCGACAGGCTTGGCTGCGACTTTAAATATGTCATTGTCTTCCTCTCACAAATATGGTTGTGATTTAAGAGAAGGACTTTTTTTTTTTTTCAGACCTGACTTGTGTTTTTTCACACCAGTACAACAATTTATGGGGTAAGGTAGACCCTGGAGAGAAGTGCTATGTTATATAAACATATGCTAGCCTGCTTTTCCTACTTGTCTAGATGATGTTACTGGGTTTGGTTTGGTGTTTTTTTTTTTTTAATTTCCAGAAGAAAATATTTTAACCACTATGATTAGTACACCAGATTAAAAACTAAAAAGCAAGCTACATACATCAAGGATCATTTCATATCACGATTAATACCAGAAGCTTAGTATCGGCAAAACTTTTAAATTTATCATGGCTTTGCAGACATGCCCTGCAAAGTGCTCCGAAGCACCATCTGGTTCTGCTCTCCCTGGCCTAAGGGATCTATAAAACTACCGAAGGAAATTGAAGTTAAGGAACAAGCATGTGTTTTACAGAATTTCAGATCTCTTGACTGAGGTTTGTAAAGTCTCTCTGAAAAACAATAAAAATCTTTGTTGAACTCTTTGGTGTCACCCCTGTAGGAAAGGCATTAATAAACTACATTAGTGATATGATTTTCCTAAATTGTGCCATTGCCCACCTGACCAACACAATAAATTACTTTACGTATGAGGAGTTTCCTGGTTAAAATAGTCTTTATTCATCTATCAGCTTTTAATCACCTAGATAGCTTGTAGTAATTTATTGGTCACAGGACCAGCCCTTGCCGAGGGGGTGGGGCAGTGTTATGATATAATGGATTTTCATCCAAGATGACTTCTTAGCCAAGTAACCTAGAAGGAACAGCGACCCCGAAGTCTGTCAGATGTTCTTCAATGAGCCAACAGTTGGGAGCCCATCCAGCAAAACACGCTGTTGGTTGACAGGCCTCATGCCCCTGATGGTAAATGAGACAGGCCAGACTTTCACAGTGCTGAAGACAGGTGGCTGCATAGCCACTTCCAGGCCCATTCTGTAAAGAGAAACCTGTGTAGAAACACTAAGAAACAGGGGTGCCTGGGTGGCTCAGTCTGTTAAGCATCTGCCTTCGGCTCAGGTCATGATCCCAGGGTCCTGGGATCGAGCCCCACGTTGGGCTCCCTGCTCAGCGGGGACCCTGCTTCTCCCTCTACCTGTTGCTCCCCCTGCTTGTGCTCTCTCTCAAATAAATAAAATCTTAAAAAAAAAAAAAAAACACTAAGAAGCAGAGAGAGATGTGGATATGACAACTGTAATGGCAAATCAGGATATTTTAAAGTTATAGCTGTCCTTAGAGTCGTTGTGAGAGCTGGCTTTCTGTAGACACAGCATCTTTAACGACAATGCAGAGCAAACATATACTGAGTGTCTAACATATGCCAGGCTCTGTGTTGGGCAGTAGAGGATGCAGAGGTGAATGGAATCAGTTCTTGCCCTTAAGGATCTCATTGCTAAAGATGGGATGTTGATGTCATAAACATAAGAGGTGTTAGGGTGGACCCAAAGTGCCATGGCAGCGAGCAAACCATAGGAAATTGAACAGAGCGTGCCGTTAGTATGGCAGAGCTTTGCATGTTCTCTAAAATCAATTCATTCTTGCATTCATTTGTTCCATAAATATGTGTTAAGCGCTTAATGGGTGCCAGCCGCCGTGTCTAGGTAATGGGTTAATGAGGCCAGATCCCCATTAGCATGTGGGTTGAGGGGACCAGGGAACGGGAGGGAGAAACAATCACTAAATCAGTTAACAGATGACTAAAGGTTGAATGACTGAAGGTAATTTCACAAAGCAACAGGAAGAAAACAGGGTGCTATGATATGTGGCAGAATGACAATGGCTGCCCCGGGAAGATCTTTTTGAAGAAGGAATGATTAAGCTGAAACTCAAAATGATGGGTGTGTGCAGAAGAGCATTTCAGGACTGAAAGACCAACAGGTGCCTGTGCTCCAAGGCAGGAAGGCTGGAGCAGAGAGGGTGGAAAAGAGGGCTGTGAGGACTCCGTGAGTTGGGCAGAGGGCAGATCACCCCCACAAGCTCAGCATTCTCGCTCATAAGACCGGCACAGCTTGTTTCTGAGTTACATGCCAGGGATTCCATCAGAAAGGCCCGTAAAAGAAACCACAGATGTCACTGTGTGATCGGCTTCAACAAAGCTCATAATTGAACACAAATCTTGCATTCTCTGTTAGAGTCAAAGATATCAGTGAGTGGTCAAAAGCTGCTTTGTTCCATGTTACCACTTAGGCTTCCTAGCACATACCATTTCCAAGTTATTTTTTGGCATATTTTTTGATGCTTAAAAAAAAATGTGGATTAAATGATAGTAATTTGTTTCATGTGAAAGAAGTTGGTGATTGCAGACGGTCCAAGGCTGGTGTGGCAGCTTGCACAATCCTCAGGAACCAGGGTTCTGCTATTTGCTGCACTGCCAACCTCATAATCCAAAGTGGCTGCTTCTGCTCTAGCCATTTTACCAACATTCCAGCCAACAAGAAAGGGAAGAAGAAAGGTTAACCCTCTCCTAGACATTGCCCACCACATTTCCACTTAGATCTCATGGCCACACATAGCTGCAACAAGAGAGCCAGGGGAATATAGTCTGAGCTAGAAGACAAAGTGTCCAGCCAAGAATCAAGTATTTGTATCTAAGAAGGGGTGGGGGATATATCTAGGGGAACAACTAGAAGTGTTTGCCATGAAGGTAATTTTTCAACATAAGCCATTTAACAGCCTTTATAGGTTTTTCTTATCGCTAAGTGCTTTTTTATTTTTTGAGTTTTTTGTTTTTTTTTTAAGATTTTATTTATTTATTTGAGAGAGAGAGAATGAGAGATAGAGAGCACGAGAGGGAAGAGGGTCAGAGGGAGAAGCAGACTCCCCGCTGAGCAGGGAGCCCGATGCGGGACTCGACCCCGGGACTCCAGGATCATGACCCGAGCCGAAGGCAGTCGCTCAACCGACTGAGCCACCCAGGCGCCCTATTTTTTGAGTTTTTTAAAAATAATTTCCTAAAAGAGATGGTAATTATGTGACAGGATAGAGGTGTTAACTAATGCTCTGGTGGTACTCATTTTACAATTTATAAACCTATCAAATCAACACATTGTACACCTTAAACTTACATAATGTTATGTGTCAATTATATCTCAATAAAGCTGGAAAATTTAAAAATTTTTAAAGTAACTTTCTACAATCTGAGATACAGGTCAGTATGCTTCACAGATTGAATTACTAGTAATCAAACAACTGATGCTTTCTGAGATGGTTTTTGAAATAAAAAGCAATCACAAAATTCTAAAAAACTGCAGGAATGATAGAAGAAGTGAACAGGTTGAGCCCTGAGATGATGTACCCTATCTTACACAACTCATCCGGGAACATCATAACATTCTTAAATTATATTTCTTATAATAAAAAGAATATTTGGTTACTAATTCTGCCCTCATTTTTCCACTTTTTTTTTAAATAGCACAATAAGGAAGATTAAAATAAAACAAATTCTGTTCTTAATTATTTTCACTATTCTGGGAACTAGATCCCTAGAAAATAAAGTTTCAGAGCCACACATATCCTGGTGCTCTGGGTTGCTTTTTAGAAAGATGATTTTTCATGTTCAGTTCTCAGTATATATTGGTATATAGAGAAATTTTACTTTCTTTAAAAAAAAAAAAAAAAAGGTTAACATCACTTCAGGTCCCAACTCACTAACTCGTTGTGCCTTTCCTCTGAACATCTTTCTTAATCATTTCTTTTCTCATCCCTCCCTTTGCCAGAGGGTGGAGATGTGGAGGCTGTTCCTTGTGTCATACAGCTAGATTGACTATTGGTTCTGAGCCCCTCAAAGTGACCGCGCCTGCTTCAGCCCCTCACCACCATCCAGAAATGTCCATGGGGGGCAAAAAGCACATAAAGGCTATGAGCTGGTATCTAATTTGTGTATTTTTTCTGTGGTTTGGGACAATTTGCATCTTTTCTAAGATTTTTGTTTGTTTATTTGGAATAGGGCAAGCCAAGGTTTTTCTTTGTCTCTGAGTAATCAGGAGCTTCTGGGAATAATTGCGAACATAACTGGAGTTTATTCGAAACACCCTTCTTCTGAGTTATTTTCTGGGTGTTCTGCCCTGTCTGTTTTTATGGAGAAACTAATAATTCATCCTGTAGAGGAGCCCCAGCAGCTCAGTACAACTGAGATTTACAGAGTGCCTGTATGTCAAGACCTATCCTGGGTGTCAGTGGATCATAAGGTGAAAAAAGAGAGTCTTCCTGAGGAGGTTGAGTCTTATGGATAAAACAACAGATCAACAGGTAATTATAATGGAGGATGCTAATTATTGTGACCAGGATGCACTGGGGCTAGCAGAGGAGGGGGCCCTCAACCCCCAGGCTATAGTTTGGACAGTTTCTTGGTACTGCCGTTCCCCAAGCTATCCCAGAAGGCAAGTGTGAGAAGGACTTTCCAAGTAGAAAACGGCCCAAGCAAAGAAGGGGTTTGGGGTGGCTGTGGTGGGGAATGGTTGGAGCTAGAACTGAAAAGTTCGGCCAAGACTAGGTCACAGATGGCTTTTCATTATGAAATATATTAGTATTCTAGAAAGTACCTGAGACCATAGAATAAAGATTTGGGTTGGAGGACATGATAAATCAATGCTAATAATAAACTAGTAAGGGATGAAAAACATTTTAAATTTTGACATGACTATAATATGATATAGTTGAAAATTTGCAAGAATTTTTTTCAGCTAAAATAAGACATCGAAGCCCTTTCCCAGTGATAAACACCAGAATGTAGAACTTGGCATGTGTATCCCTCTGTCTTTGGGTTTTATCAGAGGGAAGTTTTGAGCTTGACCCCCCAAGATGTGTAGCCTCTGAAGGATTTCAGTGGAAGTTCGTGTCTTCTAGCCCAAGTTTCTGTGAGCTTGGAATTTGTCTCTGGTTGAAGTATAGCACCACTTAGTGCTGGCCCGGTGATACTTAGGTACCTCCAAATTCAACCCCATGCCCAGGTACCACAATTAATTGAAGACAGAAAGACTCGAGCATCTGAGAAAGGCTCACACAACTTAGAGACCCTGGCAATGTCACACCCTGGTATTTCCCAGGCCTTGGACACCAAGACACTTTCAGAAACATTTGCAAGTTGAAATTCAAGTAGCACTGTATTGTCTGAGAGCAACGTTGATTTTGACGAGCCAATATGAAGTTCCCGTACTTCACCGAAGGGTGGTTGTGTTGCCAGGAAAAGGCACGGTTTTGATATACCAAATACTATTCCGTTTATATAAAATTTATATTTTGCCATAAAAATATAGGCATTAAAGTTGTGGATTTCTGCTTTCAAGGTGCCAAAAGGTATCCTTGTACCTCAGGTGCAGGGCATCGGCTCTCCCAGCCCCCTGAGAGTAGGGACTGAGAAAGGGAGCTCAAGGAGGAAAGACCACATGAGCAACGGGTTCAGTGACATGGGAGTGCAAGTGGAGCACTTGACAGTGACAGTGACACAGTCTGCCTTTTCCAAAGAAGCATCCAGCTGACAGGGCAGAGACAAAGCACTGAGGCATGGGAGGGACAAGAGAACCACAATGTGGTGGGAAAGACACGGAAAATTTGTATGAAAAGAAACTGTACCTGAAAACCTGAAGTTGAGCACTGATTTTTTTTTTTTTTTATGAAAATGATTTCATGAAGACGATGCTTCCAGGGGACCACGGAAGGATTAACTGAGACAGAGGAGGAGGCAAGAGGCGTTAAGTGAGCTCATAACTTGGTGAATGGCTTTAAAAAAAGAAGTGGGAGGTCATGAGATGTGAGAACCCCCACATGTGCGGGGTTGTTCTACCAAGATATTTCAAAGGCGCCATGGCCAGAAAGAACAATTACACTCTTGGGTCCGACACCCTCCTGACCAAGTCCTGAGAAGCACGTAATGGGATATACAAGCTGTATATAATAAGTGTTTGGGGTTTTTTTCCCCAAAACTTGTTAACTCCCTTGGAAAAGCCCTAAATCTTCAAAAATAAGCCCTCCTACACAGAGAAAATAAAAGGCCCCATTCACAGCAACAAGAGAGACTTTAGCCAGTTACGTATAGGGTTAGTGAGAAGAAAGCTAGAAGATTCGGCAAATGAGAGAAATATAGGAAAACAAGTTGAATAAATAAACATACCATGTTCCTGAACTGGAGGATCACTATTGAGTCGTCCATTCTTCCCAATTAGAGAACCATCTGGGGAAAAAGAAAAAGAAAATACATCTCCTCTGCGTGATTGTAACTGAGCCTAGGAAAATAATCCTAAATGTGGAAACAGAGGTTAGGGTCTGACTGAAAATAGTGGCTTTATTAGAACTATCTTGAATGTTTCTCATATCAGTGAAAATTGATATTTCTGCTTTTTAAAGTAAAATTCATAATTTTGATTTATGTGAGTAGCTTAGAGTCATTAAATACACTTTGGAAAATAGAGGAAAAAGGAGAGAAACAGCACTACCCCACTATCCAGAGGTAATCACTGTTAACATATTAGTCCAGTCTTTTTTTACCTTTAATTTATATACTTAACTTGGATTAAATAATTTATTCTTTCAACACTTATGTGTCAAAAGACTATTCTAGTTGCTGGGGATACAGCAGTGAACAAAAGAGAAAACTGCTGCCCTCAGGTGCTTATATTCTGGAGGGAAGGGACAGGCGAAAGGGAGGGACAAAAATCTAAGTCTGTTCTGTAGCCCACTAGATGGTAGTAGAAAGTGGAGAACTGTAGCGTAGAAAAGAGCATAGAAAGTACTAACATGGGAGTGGGGCACTAATTTAAGTGGGGTGGTCATGGAAGGCATCACTGGAAAGGTGATCTTGAGCAGAGATCAGAAGACATGGTGGGAACCTAGGCCAGGGTGGAAGGGCTATGAAGTGGGTAGAGTCTGGATTTGGGGGGGAGGAGGATTTTGTTCTTAGAATCCTTTTAAATTTTTAAACATGTTTTATTTGATAAGAGGTATGAAATTTACTATTTACCATTTTAAACACTTTTAAGTGTACAGTTCAGTGGTATTAAGTGCATTCACAGTGTTGTGCAACCAGCACCACCATCCATCGCCAGAACTTTCCCATCATCCCAAACTGAAACTCCGTATGTATTAAACAATTACTCCCCATTCCCTTCTCCCCCCAGCCCCTCGCAACCACTGTCCCACTTTCTGTCTCTGAATTTGCCTATTCTAGGTACCACATATACATGGAATCATAGGATATTTGTCCTTTTGTGTCTGGTTTATTTCATTTAGCTTATTTCATTTGGTAGGGTTCATCTGTTGTAGGATGTGTCCAAATTTCTTTTTTTTTTTTTTCAGGCTGATATCCCATTGTATGTAGTTTATCCATTTATCTATTTCATGTATCCATTTATCTATCTATCCACATTTCACTTATCCATTTATCTATTGATATTTCCACCTTTTAGCTGTTGTGAATAATGCTGCTCTGAACATCGATGTGGATTTTGTTTTTAAGTAGAGCAGATTGGATTTGCCAAAGACTGGATGTGCAGTTTGGGAGAAAAGGGGGAAGCAGGGATGACTCGTAAGCTTTTTGGCCAGAGCAGGTAGAAGGATAGTTTGTGCTTATCAAGATGGATAATATATTCTTTTTATTTGACATTGCAAAGTATTCATATAGCTAATAAAAGTCTTCATTAATGTTGGTGGGAGACCTCCCTTCTCTTCCTGCCCATTCTATATCCTTTCCCAACTCTCCCCAAAATTATGTCATTTCCAGTTATAATACTTTCCTGATTCACTGAAATATTTCTGTTGGTTCAGATGGGGGAGGGGTAGTTTAACATACCTTGCTTTTAATGCATGTTGCTCAGCTTTGTTTGTTTTAAGATTTAATTTTAAGTAATCTCTGTACCCAACATGGGGCTTGAACCCCCAACCCAAGATCAAGGGTCATATGCTCTACTGACTGAGCCAGCCAAGTACCCCTGTTGCTCCACTTTTTTAACAGAAAAGACAACCTGTGTTGAAAAAGGATGGTTAAGGAGCTGGATCAACCTTTTCTCCCACCTCCCCAGATCACATAACCACCTAGTTATAACTGCTCCCAGGATAACTCCATGCCAGAACACAAGAAAACCAAGCCAAGTGTCATCGCCACATCTTAGGAGCGGAGTCCCAAGGCTCTGGTGTTTTCGACTTTCAGTCTCCAAACACTGGGTTGTAAGAACTTTATTAGTAAACAGTCATTTACTGAGCACCTGCTTGGTGGTTAAGTACTTCGGTTGTGAGAACTCATCAAGATATATTTCTTCCTCTTATAGAGATTATGGTCTAACTGGAAGACAAAGGAGCAACTAGGAAATGGGTGCTAGATGCCACCAAAATGGAAGCCAAGAGTAGGGTCAGCTCACCCAAGTCTAAGGAATGAGGTGCCATCTGATGTGAAAATTAAACAAACGGGGTCAGAGATGGAACAGCCCAAGGATGAGAGTGAGCATGGGCACCTTCCAAGAACTGAAACACACATGTGTAGCTAGAGATGGGTGCTGGCTTAAGAGATGGCACGTGGGAAACCAGCAGAAGTCAGGTAGGCAAGGACTTGAAGTCCTATTAAGGATTTTGTACTCTCTCCTCAGGGTGATAGGAAGCCATGGAATGGGTTTAATCCAAGAACTGCTGAAATCTAATTTGCACTTTGGAAGTATCCCCCTGGCTGCAGTGTGGAGACAGGGCTAGAAGCAGAGCAACACGGGAGTCCGTAAGTCTAGCTTGCAGGCTGTTAGGACGATGGGCACATTTCTGGACTGGGAACATGGCCTCAGGGTTGGCAAAAAGCAGATAGGTCCAAAGATACTAAGCACAACAGAACCTGGGGGTATAAAGAGACCAAAATAGGCCCACTTTTGTGTCATACACAGTTGGTGATGAAGCCAATCCCTAGATAGTTGGCACAGTGGTAGAGCAGGTTTAGGGGGAAAACAGTGTGTGTCCAATTTGAGATGTATTAAGTTCAAAGTAACTGTGCAACGTTCGAGTTCAGAGCTGTACAGTCTGTTTGAAGTACAGGCAAGAGATGTAAGCCATAGGGAGAGATTGTGACTGATGCCCATATAGACGATAGAAACCACCAGTCTTCCCAGGGAGTGTGTTTACATGGTAAAACAAGCCTCCTGACAGAATACTAGGATATTTTCCCTTTCCCTTTATTTAGGGCTCTTTTAGACAGTCCATTTTCTAATAATTACAGTCTGTGAACAGTGTCTTGTACAGCTTGGCTAATATTCTCTAATATGGCTGTACATATCCATATCCTGCCACATGGTGTCCTGTTCGTTTACACTGAAGTTTTCCTATTTAAAAGAGCCCACATTGAATATTTGCATTCCCCAGAATTAGTTCCAGGGGATGTGTTAGTAAGCAGAATGTGGCAAAAGTGTTCCATGTGGATAAATACATTTAGAAACCTTGATTTAAAAAACTGTTTGGAGTGCTTGGCTGGCTCAGTCAGAAGAGCTTATGACTCCTGATCTCAGGGTCATGAGTTCCAGCCCCATGTTGGGTGTAGAGATTACTTATATAAAACAATTAGTAAATAAATAAGTACCTGTTCAGTAGGGTTCTTTACAGTGATTTCTCCAAGCCTCAGATATGCTACTTCGCAGTGTGACTCTTCGAGAGGGTGCTGCTGTGGTGTATTTATACCTTCACTAAGCCCTGGGCTATAACATGCTTTCTGGGGGTTGTACTCTCAGGACTAGTAACCACAGAACAGTTGCAGGGGATACTAACCTATATGCAAAAGCTGTCCTAAATTTCAACACATAGTTCCAGAAACTGAATTATCAAATTAACAGGAATGTATGTTTATGTCCTCGCTGCACATTGCCAAATACCTTTCCCAAAGGCGAGTACATAGCCAGTGGGAATATAAATTATTACCAAGAGCTGTTTCTCCCACACCGACTGTAATAGTGAATTGTTTAAATTTGATCTAATTTGTAGGGTTTCTATGATGACACAGAGGTGCCCCACTTTTCCGTGTTATTGATTACTTACTGCTGCTTTTGTGAATACCTTCTCTGGCCTTTTGCCTATTTACTGGGACCTTCGCTATTCTTATGAAGATAAATGGTCTATCTTTATAATCAGGTATTAATGCAGAATTTCATATATTTGCGACAGTCATTTATTCCCCCAGTTTCTTGTTTATCATTTGCTTTTCAGTTATGTTCTTTTAGAACATGTGGAACTTAGACATTTTTATGAATCTGTTCTTTAAAGCATTTCTTCTTATAGTCTTTTTGGGTTTTTTGGGGGTTTTTTTGTTGTTTTTACTGTTCTTAAGCTTGGAAAGTCCTTTTATAAAGCTTTATCTAGACACTTAATAATCACTCCTTGGTTTTTTGTTAATTATGGACATGAACTCTTCACCTCCCTGGAATTTATATTAATTTATCTTGCTGTCCACCCTCCCCTCTGCAAAACAACTAAACAAGATTTACAGCACTGTTTTCTGAATAATTTTCCCTTCCTAAATTATTATGCCCTGACAGTCTAACTAATTTTTATGAAAAAGATAATTTGTCTCCAGTTCCTAAATTAACAAATCGAGATGAATGGCAGCTTATTGGTGGCCGGTTACCTTGGTCAGTTTCAGTCTTGAGATGAGCATATATTGTGACAATGTGATGAAAACCATGACATTTACAAACTGACTTACAGTGACAAAAATTTTCTTCCTTGAAGCTCATAGGAGAGATCACTGGAAAGAACGAAAGACCTAGGTATTTTAAGAAATTTGAAAATTAAATGAAGGGAAAGGTTATTAATCGGTGTCAATAATAAAAGCAGCCACTCTGCAAACACCGTGGGGTTTAAAAATTCTTAGGGTCCAACTTTCCAGCTAAGGGACAGAGACTCGGAGTTACTTCCCCCCAAGGAGTCTGAGAGCTAGGAAGGGAAGGCAGTGCCAGGACTACTGAGGGCTGTTGATCATCAGTCCTGCTCCAATCAGGGCCCAAGGAGATAGTCTGAGGACACCCCAAAGGGCCTTCCCTTTGAGACGGCCTCTGTACTTTATCCAAGAATAAGAGTCCTAGTGCACCAGTCTGACATTTATTGTTTAGAAGGCGGGGTAAGAGGAAAGAACCACATCGCTTAAGTTGTGTAGACAGCACATTTAAAATCTCTCTCCTACAAGACTGAATTGGGGGGCCCTGATGGGGAAGAAGTGTTTCTCTCTGGTGTGCCAACTGGGTGCTAAGGGATACATACTGTGGGTCAGAAGGGAAGCCCCTCTTATCCAGTCCAGCCCCGCCCCCGGCCTGGCTAAGAGGAGCCGACGCCGGTGCTTCTCTCCAACGGTCCTTCTCCGCAAGTTCACACGCAAGTTTGCGAACCATCCCTCCTGCCCGCTCAGCCCGCGTTTTGCGGCCGCAGGAGTCACTGCGGAAGCCGGCGGGCTCGGCCGGTGAGCCAGCGTGGCTGTGCGGAGGGAGACAAGCGGCTGTTTGCTTCCCGCGCAGGCCTGTGCCCCCCACTTCCCCGGCTCTGCAGCAACTTCGGCTGAGCCTTTCCCAGGTCCCCCGGGGGCCACTTTTGTGGCAGATTCCATTTGGTTTCACAGGGCCTCGAGGAGGGGCCGTGGCGGGGGGGGGGGGGGGCGTTTGGCACGGCCCACCAGTCTCCCACGTTCGGAGCAATTTACAAACTGCTCTGGGAGGGAGCCCGCGCCCAGCCCCGAGCCGGCTGCGCCTGTTAACCCGCCCCGCCATTGTCTGCGGGGATCGGGCGCCTTTGCCCAGCCGACCTGCCTGCGAGTGGCGAGATGTGAAAAGTTAGAGACAAAAATGGTCTCTCCAGACGGAGGGGGAGCTTTCTTGTACAGAAAGAAAGGAAATACCTCTGTGGGATTTTATTTTTTTCTCCCCCCTCTTCATCCAAAAAATACAAAGAGACTCTGTCTTTAATGCGAATGTCGGCTTTAAATCTTTTAGGTTTGGATTAACTCTGCAAAAGAAAAAAAAAATCTGACAGGCTTTCAGATATGATGCAGAAAAACTTTTTTCCCCTCAATTCATGTTGTTCATTTGTAAAGCCAAAGGCTAGTGGACTGAATAGTGGGCGCCCCTTGTTCCCCATTCATAGTTAACATCACAATGGTCAGAATTAGCAGCCCAGAGTCTCCACCACCACGTTTGCCTTTTCCACCAGCGACATTTAATACAAGGTGGTAAAGGCAAGCATAAATCTTGCTGCTTTTGCCCCTAAATTAAAACAGATTAAAATCAAGCGAAGCAAATGAGGCATTTTCAGTTGCAGGCTCTAGAATCCTATCTACCTTTTCCCCCCTAGAAGGAAAAAGAAATGTGGTTGGGTTTTTTTTGTGTGGCTGTGGGTGTGTGTGTGGGTGTTTGCAGTTGTTACTCACTAAAAAGCTTCCTTCAGTCTAAACAAAACCCATGGATTTGATAGACATTTCCTATTACATAGTAATTGTTGGTTTTCGCTATTGAGGATGTCAGCAAACATGTTGAAGATCATGTTTTGCTTATAAAATAAAGTGACTTTTATGTGAATATTTTTCGTCCCGTTAGTGTCTAGAATATAGGTGCTATTTCATTGAATCCACGTGGCACATTTATTTTCAGAAATTCTTTTATAATAGCATGTTTTTATTTTAAACATGCTCAGAGCTATTTAATCCTATATGGGGGGGGGAAGACCATAGCATCCTTGAACTGACAGTCTATATCATGAGCCCATGTTAATGCCAAAAAAAAAAAAAAAAACAGCAGCAGTTCCTGGTCTTCAGTTGAGAGTCAAAATGAATAGGTAATCAAACAATTTAAAATTAGTAATCTTTATATTAGGTAAGGATTGATTGGTTAGGACTGTTAACGTGTAATTGTGCATTGGCCCGTAAGAATTAAACTCTAGGTCATTTTTAATTCCTGAACCACACCTGGTTTAAAAAAAAAGAAATCCTTGTGATTTTTTTTTTTAAGATTTTATTTATTTATTTGACAGAGAGACAACGAGAGAGGGAACACAAGCAGGGGGAGCGGGAGAGGGAGAAGCAGGCTTCCCGCAGAGCGGGGAGCCTGATGCGGGGCTCGATCCCAGGACCCCAAGATCATGACCTGAGCCAAAGGCAGACACTTAACGACTGAGCCACCCAGGCGCCCCAATCCTTGTGATTTTGAGCAGAGTGTAAATGTGTTTGCATTAGTTGGATGCTTTTTAATGGAGTTATACCAATATATTTATGCACTTAAACAGGTGCTGCAAATTTACTGTGATAAACAGCCTCAAAGTGAAACAAAATATTTCTTTTGGTTTTATTGTGTGATATATTCCTTTTAAACTCTGTGTATCTAATTACATACAGAGGGATTTTTATTCTAATTGCAGACAGCTAATAGATTTATTAATTTTTTAACCATAGAATCATTTTCTTTGCAACCCAAAAGGTTCTGATATATAGTGAGTTAATACAAAGGAATGATTAAGATTATTTTTAATACACTGTTATTTGGGTTTTACACACTAGATATTTGGTTTGACTTTCACACAGTAACAGGGCATATCGATACGAGTTATGAAAATCTTTGAACAAAAATTAAGATTATGCTGCCTAATATCATAGATATCTTAATTTGACTATACTATATCATGGTTTATGTGGATGATTTTTAATATAATGTAATATTTACAAAAGTTAATTTTTATTTGCCAAGAATAGTAAATTTAGTTTCTAACTAGGATTTATTTTACATGTTATAAGAGAATGTAAGCCAGAGTATATTTGAAATTTGCTCCAAAAGATTGATTTTGATATTCTAAGTTACAAAAGAAGGTCAAACTTTATTACTCCACGTATTGACCACAGTAATAAAAATCTCACATAAAAGTATGAAAAGATTTGGCACATGTTAAAAACCTTGCTATATTAGCTGCTTAAGGGGGGGGAAATAGATGTGGTAAAGAGATGTCTTAACACATTTGGCTTTTAATTCCAAATTATGCACAAGTTTGGATTTAAAGTTGCTGTATATCCTCTTGCAGAGTGAGATTTTTTTTTAATTATTTTACTTAAAATCATATAAAAACTAAACATGAATGATGTATGTCTTGGTAAAGCAATGTTGTTTCTGATCATTTACTCAGGCTGCCATGTTGTTTAGTTCTGGCATCTTCTGGATGGGCCTGTTATTTATCCCTGTGGCATCTTTGCTTCTTGATGTGGTGTACAAGGTGTAAGTATAGTACTCAGTTATTTACATAAAAATATAGATTTATACTAATCCTCAGATTTCTCCAGTTATAACATCAGGTCAAAGATGTGCAGTTTGCAAAGTGGGAATTATTAATATTCTGCATATGTAGATAAAGAAATGAGTGATTGAGGAATTAGGAAATTAGTTTAAAGACAGAATGAGAAGTAAAGCAAGTAGTTTCAATTAATATTAGAGAGTACATTTTTAGAAATCAGCTTGAAAAATCCATTCAAGGTAGAAGAAAATGTTATCTCAAAACACATAGATATTTTATTAAGGAACAATAGTTATGGGGGAAAAAAGGTTTTTGCCTGCCTGTTTTAAAGCCTATATGCAATATAGAATGAAGGAAACTAAAACTTTACTAATTTTTCTCAAGGGTTGTCAGTTTTAAAATGTTACCTCTTCCCACAAAAAAAAAGATATCATTAAAGTTAATTATATGATGCTTATTTAATAACTAAGAGTTTTACTATTATAAAACTAAACCATTCCTTTTAAGACTTGTTTCTGTAAATACGTAATGCTTAAAATTACTGTAATTTCATAGATTCTATTGAAAAATGATTGCCTATACTCTGGTTACTATTGTACCTAGCAGCACGATAATAAACCAGTTTTGTAAAGTGTTACATCTTCACACGAAGATTTACATGCAAATCCTTTTTTTTTCTCCCGCCCAGTATCAAGAGGACTGCTTTTAAAACATTAGTAGATGAAGTTCAGGAGCTGGAGGCAAAATCTCAAGACCCAGGTGCAGTTGTGCTTGGAAAAAGGTAAAATACACACTGCACATGTTCTTTCCCAAGTGAACTTTATGTTTTACTAGGGTTAGAAATAAGTGGTAAAACTTATATTTATCATGTTATGGAGCTAGCAGTGTCGATGACCTATTTTATTAATTTTTTTATTTTTATTTTTTTATTAGGTTAATCCCCATACATTACATCATTAGTTTTTGAGGTAGTGTTCCATGATTCATTGTTTGCGTATAACACCCAGTGCTCCATGCAGTACATGCCCTCTTTAATACCCATCACCAGGCTAACCCATCCCCCCACCCCCCTCCCCTCTAGAACCCTCAGTTTGTTTCTCAGTGTCCATAGTCTCTCATGGTTCGTCTCCCCCTCCGATTTCCCGCCCTTCATTTTTCCCCTCCTGCTATCTTCTTGTTTTTTTTTTTTATTTAAACACATATTGCATTATTTGTTTCAGAGGTACAGGTTTGTGATTCAACAGTCTTGCATGATTCACAGCGCTCACCATAGCACATACCCTCCCCAGTGTCTATCACCCAGCCACCCCATCCCTCCCACCCCCCACCACTCCAGCAACCCTCAGTTTGTTTCCTGAGATTAAGAATTCCTCAATCAGTGAGGTCATATGATACATGTCTTTCTCTGATTGGCTTATTTTGCTCAGCATAATACCCTCCAGTTCCATCCACATCGTTGCAAATGGCAAGATCTCATTCCTTTTGATGGCTGCATAATATTCCATTGTATATATATACCACATCTTCTTTATCCATTCATCTGTCGATGGACATTTTGGCTCCTTCCACAGTTTGGCTATTGTGGACATTGCTGCTAAAAACATCAGAGTGCACGTACCTCTTCGGGTCCCTACATTTGCATCTTTGGGGTAAATACCCAGTAGTGCAATTGCTGGGTTGTAGGGTAGCTCTATTTTTAACTGTTTGAGGAACCTCCATACTGTTTTCCAGAGTGGCTGCACCAGCTTGCATTCCCACCAACAATCTGATGACCTGTTTTAGACTCAGAGAGATGTGGATTCAAATCAAATCTGTCACTCACTAAGCTATGCGTGACCTTAGCCCAGTTGCTCAGCACTTTTGAGCCTCAATTTTCTCATCCTATAAAATGGGGATAATAATACCTCCCTCATGGCTAGTTTTTAGAATTAAATAAGATATAATTGATAAAGTGTGTGGTGCTTAATGAGCTTTAAATAAATGATTACAAATATTGTTGTATTATTAAAATGAAAGGGGATAAAAAAGTCTTTTAGCTTGAAACAGTATCCATAATAAGGCTATACGTAGTGAAAATGGAGCTTGATATAGAGCATCATATGCTGCAGTAGCATTTAACACGTATTCAGAACTGACATGGGCATATGTTCCATATGAAGTGCATTACGTTTCCCAAGTTTCTTCCTCAGTACCACCCCCTCAATAAAAGCAAGGTCAGAAACCTAATCAAATTGGCCGCATTCACAAAGCATTATAGAAAAGAAATTAAAAGTGTTTGAAAACAGTCTATGATAAAACACAATTACGAAGGTAATACCAGTTTCAGTCACACTAACGTGAGCTCAGATTTTGTCTACACCAGAGGAAATGCTTTGCTCCCCCATGGCTGTCACTGTCATCACAATTTGCTACTGTTATTCAGTTTGACACATTTCAGTAAGTGTCAGACCGGGAACTCAAGCTGAGACCTTGGCTCCCAGCCTTCCTCAGTCACGTGAGGCCAGGGGGACTGGTCACACACACACACTGGTCTGCCCCTGTCTTGTAAAGGGAAGAGCCCTGCTGGGTGCCGAGCACTCACTACATGCTAGGCATTGCGCCAGTCGTGCCATATACGCTGTCATGTAGGATCCCCGAAACAGTCCTGGGCAGGTTAGTCACCCCATTCGTTCCTGTTGAGGAAACTGGGACTTAGAGTAAGTTCTCGGTCAGAAGTCACAAAGCAGGGCCTTCTGGAGCCGCTGCTCCTTACCATTGACTGTTCTCCTTCCTTTTCAAGAATGGGAGACAACAGCAAAAACAGCCTATACCAGCCTGACGAAGTGCTTGACCTCTCTCTGTCAGTGTCGCTGTGTGTAGGATGGAAATAACTTTCAGAGTTAGGAGTATCCTTCCCCCTCCACCTTCCCCTCATCTGTGTCCCTTCATCTAAACATCTACACCTGCTCCCTTGGTTGGCCCAAGTGTCCCTCTCTTAATCTTTTCTCTTTCGCTCTAGCAGTAAAAAGGATTTGCTAGGATTCTAGCTTACAAAATTGTGAATAAAACTGTTTACTAACAACTATTAGGGAAAGACCATACTATTACTACCCTTAGGAGTCAATTCCTTATATTTCTAAGTATGTTCGTCATTCTTATGTTAGGCCCCTGCGTGTGATATTTAGCTTTCCTGGTTTGTAGTACATAGGTGACTTCAACGACCATAAAGCCAAGGTGAGGTTTTGATATGGTGACCTCTTGGTGCTAAAGATTCAACGATTCTGTAATGTAGGTGGCCCCTGCCATTAAAAAAAAAAAGTCAGAGGGGCGCCTGGGTGGCTCAGTCAGTTAAGCATCCGACTCTTGATTTCAGCTCAGGTCATGATCTCAAGGTCATGAAATCAAGCCCAGCATCAGGGCTCCCTGTTCAGGAGGGAGTCTGCTTCTCCTTCTCCCTCCGTCCCTCCCCCTGCTCTCACTCACTCGTGCGCTTTAAAATAAGTAAATAAATAAATAAATCTTTAAAAAAAAAAAAAAAAAAGAGGAGCCCCTGGCTGGTTCAGTAGGTAGAGCATGCAGCTCTTGATCTCCAGGTTGTAAGTTCGAACTCTATGTTTGGGGTAGAGATTACTTAGGAAAAAAAAAAAAAAAGTCAGCCTAAAAGGAATAAAGTGGATTCCACCATAAATGACAAACTTTTCCATAGAAAATGCATCAGATAAATTTCCTGCAGCCACCTCATTTGCCTAAAATAGCAAGAACTCAGAAATGAGTTAGCTGTTAGCTAAAGGCCACAGATGAAAACCCGTGGTATAACACATACCCCATGTTGCTGTTGCTGCCCATGGTTACCAGAAGGATGGTGACCACAGTGCCTTCCTGCTGGATGATGGCTAGAGAGGGAGGGAAAAGAAGGGATCTGTGAAGGAAGAAAAATAGCAACTGGTTGGAAAAGTCTTCATGCTAAAAAATGACATTCTAGAGCAATTAGGAATTGTCAGATTGATTTTACTGCCAGGATTTTTTTTTTTTCAAGACTTTATTTTTAAGTAATCTCTACACCCAACGTGGGGCTCGAACTCACAACCCCAAGATCAAGGGTTGCATGCTCTACCAGTTGAGTCAGCCAGGAACCCCACTGCCAGGGTTATTTTAGGAAACTTAGAGAATGAGACTGATGTAAAATTTCAAAAAAGTTAGCTAATCTTATCTACATTTTCAAAGAGGAAGAAATTGTGACTTCTGTGTATTCAAACAATATCAGATTCATTTTAGTTCCAAAATACCATGTTATTTTATACCTCCCAATCTTTGCACGTGCTGTTCCCTTGCCAAGAAGCTGATACCCTCCTATAGATGGGGCAGTCCAATTCCTAGTTTTCAAAGCTCAACTCAGGTGCAATTACCTTTTCTTTTCTGAGATAAAATTAATTCCTACCCTACCATCTGAGCACTTTATGCTTCTGTCGTTACATTTACTGCATTGTATTGTGATGTGTTTGTTCATCCTGTGTGTTTGTTTCCCCTACTAGATTGAGTGCCTTGAAGGAGAGGCCTCCTTCTTAGTCTTAACTGAAACCCAACACCTAGCACAGACTCAGGAACACACTAGCACCTGATAAAGATTTGTCCAATGGGTGATTGAAGGGTCCAGAGAATGAACTGAGGAATGAATGAATGAATGAATGAATGAGTGAATGAATGGACGAAAGGATGGCTGAGTAGTGGGTGGTAAAGAGATGATTGACCCCTGGGTAGTTAAATACAAATATGATACATAAGAACATAGAATTATATACATTACACTTCCCAAACGAGTCATGTCCAAAGCAACAGTGGTTTACTTCTTCACCATAGATAGAACAATGCAGTCTTGTAAACTGATTGTCCCCCATTTTTTTCAATGTCCACTGAGCACTACTATGAAGTTGGGCTCTACATAAAGGGAACTGCCTCAGAGAAACTGTAACTTCTAAGCACTGTGTCCAGATTAGCATTTATGATCATTTATTTCTCATGTTTACTTATGTTCAAAACTAAAACATTTTGGTTAAAACAGTCTTTTTTTAGTAGAAATAGTATATCACAGGGCGCCTGGGTGGCTCAGTCGTTAAGTGTCTACCTTCGGCTGAGGTCATGATCCCAGGGTCCTGGGATCGAGCCCCGCATCGGGCTCCCTGCTCAGTGGGAAGCCTGCTTCTCCCTCTCTCACTCCCCCTGCTTGTGTTCCCTCTCTCGCTGTCTCTCTCTGTCAAATAAATAAATAAAATCTTTAAAAAAAAAAAAAAAAGAAAAGAAAAATAGTATATCACTTACCATATTATTTTGTGAATTAGATATATTTATCCCAATTTTACATTGAAATTTGGGGGTCGAGGTATTTCGTCATCTAAGTACAGTATATTGCTTTTGAACCTTGGGTTATGGTAGGAATCAATTTAAGATATTGGGACAATAAATGCAAGCCGTACCTCTGATCACTGTGTAGCTATGGCTTACTATTTTTGGTTAAGGAAACAACTTAATATAACACCCAGTGCTCATCACATCACAGCACTTGGTGTGATACGCAACTGACGAATTATTGAACACTACCTCTGTGATGTACTATATGTTGGCTAATTGAATTTAAATTAAAAAAAAAAGATATATACCCTTATATGGTATGAAACCCTGTTTTTGCTGTTACTTTTTTGTGGATAGGCTCCAACACTAGGGAGCATAGCATCTGCAATTCCAAAATGCAAAAAAACTTTGAAATTCAATTTTTTCCCCTAGGTTTATAGCAAACATTTGCTGGAAAAAAACCTAAACCATTTGTTCTATATAGATAAAGGCATTAATAGTGTTTATTTTTTTCTATAGTATAAATATTTATATACTTTATAGCATAAATGTAAATGTTTTGGAATATGGGCCTCTCCGATCTCATGGCGGGGGGCATGACATCTATAAATTTTGTGTAACATCTTACCTTTTCTAAAACAAAACAATAACAAAAACAGATGTGAATTCAAGAACCCAATGCTTTGAAATAAGGAACTGTAGACACTGGGCTCATGGGAGGCGGGACAGTTACCTTTGGGTATCCTTTACATGAGTGTGGCAAGCAGTGCATCTCATAGACAGGCAAATAGGATGAGATTCATAATTTTTTATATCTCACTGTAGACATAAGCCAGCATATCAGCAGCCATTGCTAAATAGAACTTTGCCCTGGGATCTTCAGGTCATTCCTCATGAACGTGTCCATCACTCTACCATTAGCTTTAAAGAAGAGAGCATGGAAGGATAGATATCAGATAATTTGACCATCTGGACAGTAACAGTGGCTTCTCTGAGCCTTCCTCTGTATTATTTATCTTTAAAAATAGCAATTTTAACATTGCCCCAAAACTAACAGAAAAGAAACTGTTTCTCAGTGTTCACACTGGTTTTATATCAGTGTTACATATGAATCTTGGTACAGGTTTGAGATAGGAGCATGTATCCAATGGTTTGCCCTAGCCTTCTCTCAACACTGTGATAACAGTTCCGTCCAGCATTTGTAAAGAAAAGTGACGGAACAATGAAGTGCTGTCTCCTCCAGAGCAGAGATCAGGCCTGTTGTAGTCATTGTTTATCTCCCCACCATGGCTGCCTCATCCAGGACGGCTGTCCCATGCCCTACACTAAAACATCCCACGTATGGATGGTTCTTTACTTTCTGGAGATCCATTTAAATGAATCCACCAAAATAGCTCGCCAACCCACCATAAAGACAACTGCAAATTTACCACTCTTCAAAAATAACTGAAAATACCTTCAGACAATATGTTTCAGGACAGTAAATGGGTTTCTACCTATACTTAGTGTTTCTAAATGAATTATTATTTTAAAACATTAAAATCAATTATTTTAAATTAATATAATGATTAAATAATTATAAATAAATAATACAATTAATTATTATTTTAAAACATTAAAACACCTTACCTCTACCAAATATCCAAGTTGAGACATTTTAGTGGGCTGGGAAATAAGGTAACAATATTTAAGTGGTACTTGCATAAATTGCACTGAATGAGAATTTAGAACTTGCGTAGATTGGTATGTAAATGAAAGGCCACACAAAATTAACACTGCTGACTAAGAGTTGTGATTAAGATGGGGTTTTAACGAGAAGGTTCTTAAAGTCTTTTTCTTCTTCTCACAGTGCTAAGCTAGTCAAGAAAAACTAAACTTTTTAACATGTCTATTAATATTAACATGTTCCCAATATACTGTATAATGTGACTTGACAGTAACCGCAGTACCTGTAAACATCAAGGACATAGAACCACGTTATTTTGAAATGATTAGTTCCCAAAAGGTAGGATAAGACTAGAGAAATACAAATCATCACTTAGTATTTATTAAGCACCCTCCTGTGAATGGCATTTATATTTCATAGGAGGGACTCTGCCCTATAAGAACTAAAGCAAGAGGTTCAGAGTAGCTCAGGAAAAAAACAACAGAAACCTAGTAGTTTTCCTACTGGGGAAGTGGAGTGGGGGGCACTGTAAGTGAAAACTCATATGTAGCAAGAGACGTTTTGCGTGGAGCTGATGTTGACTCTAAGCCAAGGCATCAGAAAGGGATCCTCACAAAGTTATCTCATGTTTTGTGATGATCGCTGTCCTACTTGATTTTTTGTATGATCAATTCCTTGCGAGCTGGGGGAGTGGTAAAGGTGGGAAGGACTAGCATTCTTTGAGTGCTTCCTAAATGCCAGTCACTAAGGTAGAAGCCATGCAATTCCCCCAATCCCACTGTTGGCCTAAGGGTTAGGGATTATCCTCTTCCTGTAGATGAGAGGACCAAGAAAGGTTTGCCTGAGGCGACCCAGCTAATAAGTAACAGACTCAGAATTAAAGTTAAGACTCCAAAGCCCATGCTCTAGCCCCAGTACTGCGCTCCTTTCCCAAGAAAGAAGCTTTCTTATTGCACCTTGTTTTTTGAACGCTAGACATGAACTTGATGTGACAGCTGAGTAAAAGTATAGCCTCATATGAGCCATTACAAAACAAAACTGCATTATCTTATACATGGAAGTTTCATAACATGAAAGATAAAATTCTCACATCTGCCTTCTTAACATTGAATGTTATAATATTAAAGTATTATGCGTTTAGGAAGGTCAGCCTGAAACCTGGAAAATGTATCTGGGGAAGAAGAAGCTACATAATGATACACTGCTGTCCCCTAGATGTCTGTAGTCATTTCCGTCTTAAACACCAGAGACTTCCCAGCACCCCATCCACAATGCTCTGCTAACAAAATCAGACCACCTGCTGCTAAAGCTGCCGAATTCCTCAAAGCAGTTACAGATTTTAGTGTTCCTAGGGGTCCCCAGGTCTGTAATGTTAGATCTTTTTAAGAATAGAGTAAGAAAAGTGACTCTAAAAATGGCCCCTTCTCACTCCCCATATCTGTTTATTTCGCTGGCAAAAACCAGTTTTACAACTCTTTGCAAAACCACTGGAGTTTTAGATTAATTAGCTTTGTTGCCTTAATGTAGCTAATTCTCAGTGACAATGAAGTATGTCTAATAAGTACCAGTTAACATCCCTAGACTTGAAAAAATGTGTGTAGAAGATGAGTACAAATGTCAACATTTCTAAATATTTTACTTCAGCAAAAACCTGAATGTTTATGTAATTCCGAGTTCATTTGGCAGATGATCCTTTTATTTTTACTTCTTGTATATGATAAAAATTGTTCCATTTCAGGCTTTCAAAAAAATTGGCAAAATATAGAACTGACGTAACTTAGGACAATTTAACTACAACTTTTATAGTGGGAAAAACACAAGATGGAAATTTTTCAACTGAGTCCATTCCAGTGATTAAAACAAAATTGCATAAACATTTGCTATAACACATGTGGATTTCTTATTAGCTCTTTATGCTTATTATGTTCTTTGATATCAAAGCAAAATTTTAGAAATCAACCACTGGAGAAATGGCATGATTAGGAGGACTGGTGATGTTTAAAGTGCATTTCACAATTATTGCTTGAATTCATTTATTTGACAAATAATTGGCTTCCTACCGTGGGAGACACCATTCTACGTGCAGTGGAAAAAAACAGATGCATTATTTCTTGCAATGTGCTTTTAGAAGTTACATAATTAATTACATGGATTTGTTTCTGTGGAGATTATTCTAAACGTTTATTGAAAAATAAATATTTCTCCTTGTCATTTTACCTAGTATTTTCTGAAAATAGGTTTCTTTTTAACGAAATTAAGGAACACATTTCATACCATATTGGAGTGGTAATGGAACTTTTCTAGTTAAAAAGTCTATGAAATTTCTTCTTTGTGTAATTTTGAGGATTTCTTTACATAATTAAAAAAATATTATTTTACACCAAAATATGTGCAAAGTGGAAAAAGATATATAGTAATAATTTTTGTAATTCAAAAAATGCCGTGCTTAGAATGCACGCAGTAAGTCAACCAAGATTTTAGAAGTTAATAACACTACTGGCAGACTTTGTATTTTTTGTTAACCATATTGTACAGGGTCTGTATCCCCATTTGACTTAAATATAACTGGGGGGTGGGAAAATCTTTTGGCTGGATTATTGGGAACAAAACTCCCCTCAGCTATGGGAAAAACTGGCCTCGAGAGTATCTAAATACTTTAAATCTCATTTGCCATCTGAGAAAATGGGGTAAAAAGAATCCCTGGGCTGCAGACTTCTCAAGCAATCTTTTGTTTAAGTCTAACTCTCTCTGGTGGTCCTGTGGGCACACTGGGGTCTCTGCCGAGTTGATAATTCATTTCACACATTTGCACCTGCTCGGCAGCCTCACGGAGAGGGCGCAATTGCTCAAGAACGTCTTTAAGAAGAACCACGTGAACTTGTACCGGTCTGAATCGTTGCAACAAAACCTGCTCCGTAAGTACCTGAGTTCCGATCCATAAATAAATTCTCTGCTGTTATGTCCTAGCATGTATGAGAGCAGCATTTTGACTATTTAAAATTAAAACCTAAAGCCAGTTTTGCTTCTTTGCAACATGTTACATAAATAACCAGTGATTAGAGAAACCTTTGACCACAACCATCTCACTTAGAGCAGACAAGACAAAGCATTTTAAAATCTTGCTGCTTTCACTTGAAGAAATAATATTTCCACATGCCCCTTGCTTCCTTAAATCTTAAAAAGAACTAGTGAAATAAATCTTAACTCTTAAAAGCTCCCTCTGTATTGTTATCTTTTCTACTTGAATAACTTTGCAAGGGCTTTTTCAGCTTTCAAACAGCACAGTGAAACATATATTTCCCCCTTCAAAAATATTTATGAATATTTAGAGTTGTAAGAAATTATTAGGTATCAGGCCCTCTTAACATTTCAAGGATCTGAAAAAATATAATATATAAAGCCCTGTAGTAAATGTATTTGTGTTAGTAATATATCTTTTGTTTCATGTTGTTTCCACATATAATTTATTTTCATTTATATATACTCATGTTTAATGCTTTTGCCTTTTATACTTCAAGAGGCCTTTTCTAAAGATGTGACCCCCTTGGGGGTCATTGCTTATCCCCAACCGTGCTGGGGCATGAATGAGTTTATCTGTAGATGCCGAGAGCCAAGGACAATGTAGTCCCAAGGAAGGAGACCACTTTTCCAGCACGGGCAGTCCGGGTGTTTATCTCTGCCTCCTTCTCATTTTTGTTCTTCCTGCTCTCTCATCCACCCGATCTGGATGGAAGTGTATGTGCCCGCTAGACTGGACATCACCACCACCCTCACCCCCCACCCCGCCAGTAGCCAGGAAGCAAAAATTGGTTGGCTTGGATTTGAGATGCCGTAAGGAGAACCGAGGGGGATTGCGAGCACCTGCTCATTCATCCGGGGGCAGAGTTCATAGAATCTCAGCTGACAGCCTGCAGTCAGCCCACTCTTCATGGTGCAGTTGAGTCCACATCTTTTCTGAACGTAAAAAACTCATGTCTTCACACAGGCTTTTGAAGGCGGGAGGGGCATAGGAGTTCCCCAAGTTAGAAAATGAGTCCTTCACACTCAGAATCACAGAGATTCCCAGTGACCTCACAATGATCATTTCTGTTTTATCTTTAACTTACAGACGGGTATGCTTTCTCACAAGATGAGAATGGAATTGTGTCACAGTCTGAGGTGATTCGAGCATACGATACCACAAAGCAGAGACCAGACGAGTGGTGATGGGACGGGGGCTGCGAGGCAGGGGCTACTAGGGCTCTAAGGAGAGCTCCCAGGTCTTACCGGATCTGCTGACCAATTCCAGTCTGGTCCCAGGAGGGGAGAGTGGATCTGAGCTCATCTCATTGATTGACCGTCAGATTCGTGTATATTACAGACATAAGCACTGTGCAACTCTACTGTAACACCATCTCTTTCAGATTTTTTAAAGTATTTGCTAAGTCTTTGTAAGCAGAAATTGAAAATGACCTTGTTATCTTGCCAGAATGCTTTCTTAAACTGAGAACAGGTCAGTAGTCTTATGCCATTACTCTGGGGCTGTAACTGACTATCAATTTATTGGATATGTACCACAAGGCAACCAACCATGAAAAAACTCTAAAGTGGTAGTAATTTATAGGGACTCTTGATATCCAGACTTAGATTTCAGAATATGCTGAAAAAAACCAGCACTCTTCTCTAGGAACTGACTCACCTTCCTGAGCAAAATTTCTAAACAAGACATTAACAAGTGTTTGTGTCAAAAATTGTCTTGATAAATGTTTGCCAAAGACATTCAATAAGTGTATTTCTCATTCAGTAGTCATTTGCCCAGAAAGTTAAGAGAAAGTTTACCTCCAGCTCTGCTGTAAGATCTGCATGCTTGACTTTTCAAATGTAAGAGTGATTTGCAAAAACGAGTATTTCAAGGCATTTGCTACTAAAATCCGTGATGTTGCACCTTTGGCCTTACACATGCTTCTTTCTTGTTTGTCTTATTTACTTGTTAACATTGGAAGACATTACGTGGCAATGTGACTCTGTCATTATGATATTGATTTCTAAACTATGTCTCCGTCCTCTCTGATGAGCGGTCCTCATCATTTAGATTTTTCTAAAAATCTGGCTTCTGCTGAAGACTGAGTGCTGTCCTTTTATCTTAATGTTTTCTCTCTCAAGAAAAATATGCTTAGATATTTATGTGAGCTCCCCAGTGCTTGCGTGGAGCTGTTTGGAATACCACGCTGGATAACTGCATGGGCTTTTGTAATGTACATAGGCTCGGCTTTTGTCCTGTGTTTGGGATCTTTCTACTAGTTCCTGCTAGAGATGCCTGCTGGTGCACATAGCACACCCCGTGTTCTGGTGACCATCCCTGTACTTAACCCTGAGAATTACTTCACAGCTCGCTAGTTAAGCAGCTTCCCCAAATTAGTCACATGCTGCTAATCGGGACAAATAAGTAGTACATAGTCCCCATTTTAAAAACACCTATTTTACTCCAGCCTATAACTTTACAGTCAGAGATACTTCATCACAAGTAGATTTTGTTACTATGTTTTTAAATGTATGTTCAGTTTAATTTTTTTCAGCATTTCCAAGCCATCTCCCCAAAAAATGCCTATTTTGCTACCAACAATAAATGGTGAAGGGGCTGTTTAAAAACCACAACCAGTTTTCTATACTCTTTTTAAAATAATGCCTTCATTTAAAAAAATAAATAGAAAGGCATTCTAGTTTTCAGATACACTTCAGAGATTGAAACTAACTTTTTGCCTTCTATTCAGAAGCCTGTTTGCCTTTAAGTGGACTTAACCAGCAAAATAGGTAGAACTTCCTCTTAAAAAAAAAAAAAGAAAAGTCAACTAGAATTGTGAGGAGAGGTGATTTTCCAAGTCACTCCTTGAGCTGAATAATTTCATATTCTTTTTACCCTTTTCCTTCATCTAGGTTTAAAATTAGGTGATAATGTCATTTCCTTGTCTGTATTTTTAGTTGTTTAGTTACAAGTATGCCTCCCCCATTTTCTAGAAACAAGAGAGGTTATCACACATACATAATTCTAAAGGGGGCAAGGAGTTGACACAATTCACTTCCTATACCGTTCCCGTTTGGGGTTCAGAAAGAAAATTGCCAATTGAAACACCTAGAAAGAGCACAGGTGTAGGAGTCTGAGACCGTCTTCAAAACTCTGAAGGTCACAGATTTTTGTCTACCGAAGGGATATTCAGAACAGCTTTCCTGGGCCTCCCCGTGGCGAGAGTCAAGGTCAAACCACACAAATCAAAACACAAGAATGAGGTACATCCCTCCAGAGAAACACTTTATCATGGTCACAGACAAGAGCTGCTTCCCTTGGCCTCCACCTCATCAGTGGCATCCTTCCCCCAAATTTTAATATCAAAATATGATGAATATAATAGAACTGAATCTTCTGGCTTAAAAAAAAAAACAAAGTTTTATTTTTATCTTAAAACGTGGATTATTTCTATGGAGCTCTTCAACATGGGTAGAATACCCATGGTTAATTAATGCATGAGACTGTGGTCTGAAATATGGCTAATTTAGGTCTTTTTTGTCCCATAGTCCTATTTTTGAATTATTAAGTCAATTCTTTTGCTTCTTGGGTGAGAGAGGGGGGTTGGGCAGCGGGGAGTGACCTCCTTGGTAAAACTTAAAACACAGCATTGCAATCGCAGTGACTTTATAGTGTTAGAGAAAACGCTTCAATTTTTTAACCTTCCAAAGGTTGGGGGGGCAGGTAAGAGTTTTACCAGGATTAAAAAGCTGAAGTGACTTTTAACTTTTATTTTCTGAAATAAAGGACACATCCTCTTCAATTGAAAAGTCCCTTGTAGGGACTTGGACAAATGCTAACAGCGTCGCTTTACAATGTTTACAATTCAGAAAATACTACTTACGGCAGAAAAATCCTCATTCATTTAACATTGAAAAGCTGGGAATTGCTTCTTTAATGTTGAATAGTACACAGTGATATTGAGCATGAACTTTCTAAATGTTTTATATATACCTATAAAAATATATTGGTGGTTCACACCCAGAAAGATGCTATTTGGCAGAAATTGTTAGTAGAAGGGTGTTTCTCAGGAATGTAGCAAATTGAAAATGATCTATGTGCTGCCCACCCTCCCACACCCCATTCAGTGTCTGACAGTGAGCCTGATTCAGCAGTGTTGCAAAGTTAGTGGAAAACTTTTTTCTAATCAAGCCAGGTGAACATGTATTCTTATTCAATAATATTATTCATTTACATGAATTACACAGTCATTGAATGGATTCAGTAATTCCTCTTAATTTTCAGGGGGAACTGTGAATTCCAGAAATCTACGTTTATTCTGATTATTAGGTTTTATATTTTAATTTTGCAATTTAGCATTCTAAATAACAAATATGAACCTCACATGATCATTTGTTCTGCATTGTGTGCACTGTACATCACTTATAACTTGTCATTTAAAATGTTCTTTCAGGAAATGAATGCTTATCTGAAAGTAATAGATTGTATATTTGTAGTTTTTAAATTATTTGTAACAATGTCCTAATTATTACCATGCTAAATGATCATCAGTGTATATTTTTGTGCAGTTGCCCTATGACAGTTCTTGGTTCTAAAACTTATTTTATCCAATAAGTCTATATATAATCTTATGAATAACCATTTATAAAATTTATCAAGAAAACGCCCACCCCATTAACATCAAGTGGACCAGATCTGTGGAATTCTTTTTGTAAATTCATGTAATACCATGCAGTTTGGTGCCTAATAAATGCTTTTTAATGACGAACATTTCTATAATGCTTCTTTAAGAGATATAATCTGATTTTTCTTGTGTTAACTGAAGTCACTTGTGAGACTTAGTTATACTTTGCTGCATTTTAATTAACCTTCAGTGGCTATTAAAATGGAATGTAAGTTAAACTTTGAAGGAAAGGAAATAAATGTTTTCCATTTTTCATCTTGACTTATTTTCTGTATGAAAGCAGCTGTGTTTTTGATAGGTTTATGGTTTGCATGAATTAATATTTAAAGAGGCTTAGGCCAATGCATGGCTATTGCTGTAAATCTTGATGTTTATTTCTGCCTTATAAAATTCTATCATGGCCTACTTGGAATTTAATATTCGGTGGACAAATTAATTGGTTCTCTGCACCACTTTTTTTTATAAGTAAATTATTTTACAAATTTGAACAAATTTAATTGCAACTTTTGTTTAGCTTGCTTTTAAGAACTTTTCTTAATAAAGCTCACAAAACTTCTCAGCAAATAAATCTCCCGTAAGTAGGAAAAAAGCTAGATTTCATACATGCTTACTTTGAATTAACAGCAACTTTCCATAGGTAAATCTGCTCTTGCAAAAATGTGAGCAGAATATTAAAAAATAAATATTTTTATGTTTCATGGTTCTAGAATAGAAGCCATAAATGCAGTAAATACTGTTTGCTGTTTGTTTAGCTACTTCAAGCTTCATTTTTCACATTTTCAAGTTTATTAAGTTTAAAAAAAAAAAGGCAGCCTTGGAAGGCAGCTACTATGGAAAATTGAAGTTTGCATTAAAGATAAAATAGTATTTCCAGATCCTTGAAATCCATTTCTGCTGAAACTGCTGTCAAAATCGTGAAGCTGCATGAGTGGAGAGTATTGAATCTGTGATTATAGTTTTCTCAGGTTTGTTTTTCTAGCTGTTCAATGCACTGTGTTTTATAAATAGTTATTAAAGTTGAGTAATATTCAGTTCTCTGCAGTGTTATGTGTCATTGGCCTTTTGTGAATGTGCATGTTTTAAACTGCAAGTTTTAAACATTTTGTCCTCTCAGTGTTATTAAAAATGAAATAAACTGTACCATTACATAAAGAAATTGTTGCAGTTTTAATTGCTAGTTTTAGAAACTAGGTTGCTTTATAAAACCTTCAAAGCCACTGTAGTTATAGTCTAAGAAGGTGTATCCACTTCATAGCATTTTAACATTTTGTTGACCACCCAGGTGATATAGAAAATAGCCCTTCATGGAGTCTAGCTTGGTGAGAGGCGTGGTTAATTAATTTGAGTCCCTCGCCTGACAAAAAAAAAAATTTCTTTAATAAAATTCCTGTATTTTGATTCTTCAGTCAGAAAAGCCTCCCAGGATTGTCCCCATTACATATTTAAATCAGCCGGCAAGTCAGCCACTAATTCCTGGCTCCATCCTTTCCCATCGGATGGATTTCCTAAGTTTTCTAAACCCACCCAATTTTTTTAAGTTCATGAGAAAGTGGCCAAATGTAGTCAGTAACATTTGAAGGAAGTAACCAAAAAGATATTAAAATTGCCATGTGAGACAAAAGCACAAGAAACACCGGAAATGAGGCCAACGGCCTTATCACAAAATAAGCATCAATTGGCAAAAGAAAAGCAACTGAAGCTGCAGTTTCATAAACTGCTAGATCGGATTAGTTCACAGAGAGGCTGCACTGGGTGAGCAGTTTGAGAAGCTCCTGGGTCTCCTAGCGAGGTGCAGCGTGTGCTTAGGTGTCTGGGGCCCCAGGTCCTTTTCTAAAATCTTCCCAGGGACACTGATTGGGTGTGGGTCTCCCAAGCAAAACCACAGCAAAACAAGGTGTACAGAGAAGTTTCCTGTGGATTATATTAAATGATTTGCACATTCATCTCCACTCCCCCTTGAAGTGTAAGCACTGTGTTTATACTGACCCTGTGGTTTCAGATGCCTTCTAATATTACCTAAATGCTAAAGGAAGCAGCAGACTTGAAATACATTCTCATAAATTCAGTATGTCATCCCCATTGAATGTTTTTGTATGCTTACAGCATCTCTAATCTCAGCTTCCATTTTGGCAACACAGAGCCATGCATTTTAATGAAGAAAGATCTTCCTAACCTGGATAATTTCACTAATAGGCTAGTAAAAATTTATCCAAAAAATTGGATAATACTATGTTTTACCGTTGTTTTTATTTCAAATGCAAACTATGTATCTAGCATTTCAAATAAGAATCCTCTGTCAGAATAATTGCTTTAATAACTAATGTTTAATTGCAATTTTAAAATAGCCATCTACATGTCAAAATACGTCAACAGTTTGTCCCCTTAACAGTTTAATACATCTTTAAATTCTTGTTTTTCCTGAATGTGTACTAAATAAGTGTTTTAGGTTATGCAAAGGTAAATTGATTCCCAACCAAATGAAATGAATCAGATTTCTAATTGTGATTGCATAGACTTTCAGGAACTTTTTGGTTATCTTGTTTTAGAAATTTTTTTTTTCCTTTGAAGCCAACTTCGTTTTAGAAAATTTCTTATGGATTTAAATCAATCTGGCCAATTCTCCATTATATGACATAACTAATAATAGCACAAGAAAAAATAAATAGGTGGGGAAAATAAGAGGGAACAATCTATTCATTTGGACAATTAAAAGTGTTGGCTTTATAATGAATAATCATTCTGAAGCAACTTTATTAAATACATTCTTCTAAAGCAGATAATAAATATACAGGTCATGAATACCCAACGGGGTGGGAGAGCGCTCTACTCCTGGCAACAAGGAGAAGCTGGCCAGGTATCAAATTGGGCCATGGATTTTCATGGACTCATTCCATCAAGCCATGGGGCCATTTTCTCTGTTCCCCGCACTCCGATCAACAGTTACATCTACCCTCCCACAGTACTTAGCCTTTTGTTTCTGTTCTAGGGTAGATCATCTGCTTTCCATTATTTATTGTTAACCTACTACACAGCTCCCTCTCCACTAGAATGCAAGTATTTGGAGACAGTGACTCTAACTTCTTATTTCTCAAGACAACCCTACACAATAAGATGCCATTAATATCTCCATTTTACAAATGACAAAACTGAGACACAGTGAAGGTAAGTGACCCAAAGTCACTCAGCTTATAATAAGTGACAGAGCTAGAAAACTAACCCAGACACTATGACTTCAAAATCCCTGCTAGGTCACCTGGTCTCCTGAGTTTCTCATGTGCAAAGGGAGAAATGTTTGTCATCTAATACTTCTATTCATGCTTTATATGCTGTGATTCATAATGTAGCACAAAATCTGTTACAATGTCCTCTATTCTATAGGATATCATATCTATAGGATGTGTACAATTTAACACGTTTTCCCCAGACGATTTTCTGAAAAGCAGGTTGACTGTTTTTTTTCCTGAGAAAATAGGCCTTCTAGAAATTCTAGAAAGTTCATTCTACTGGGGAGGGAGCATGTAGTAAGTTATATGTCATAAAGAACATAGAATTTCAAAACAGCCCACCAGAGTTCAAATCTTGGCTCTGCTATTAGTGTCTGACCTTGGGCACAGCATTTAACCTTTCTGCTTTGACTTCTTCATCTGCAAAGCAGGCATGATAAAAACCCCTACCTCAGGCTTGTGGAGATTAAATGTTATAATTCATAAAGCACTTGGGACACACACAGTGCCTAGTAAATGGCACCCATTATTTGCATAAGTTCCTTTCAAAGTGTAGAACTTCCGTTCTTCAAAATAATGGTGATTTTAGGATGTTAGGCCTCAAATTCTCTGTGAAAGTAATAAAGCATTAATCAGCCAAATTTCCGCTGTATTTTGATGTTGTGGCAAGCCTCTCTTTGGAAATTTCAGGTGATTTGACGTGACCCTTGCTCTCTAAACTTTCTAAAATGGCGATGTGATCAAGCTGCTTTCCCTCATGGAAGGCTTCAAGGTTCTCCCTTGCATTTGGTGTATAGCCTACCACCATGGTTTTCAAGATCTCGGATACTGACCCTGCCCATCTCTCCACCCTCACTCTTTGCATTCTTCGTCTAGTTTCCAGAATGTTCCTTGTTCATTTATGCTGTGGGTGTGTCTCTGCCTTTCTACCAGTTCTTTGCTTAATACGCTCTTCCCCTCATTCCCAGCACTGGTTTCTCCCTCCCCCACCCAGTCTTTCTCACTCACATCCCATCCATCCGGAGGCTCAGGTCCAATCTCATCCCCTCCAGATGAGTGAGGTGTTGCCAAGGCACTGTATATGTCCCCTATCATTGCAGTTACCAGAATGAATTCTAAATGTTGGTTTTGGGGTTCATATTCCCCTAAATGACTGAACTCCTCTGGAAAGCAGGAAAGATAATGTGCTTCTCTCATAGAGCATCTGTAACACCTTATCACAAGGACTTGCAGCCATGCCTGAGTCCATGAACACAGAGGCTTTTTGAATCAGACCTGAATTTTATTCATCTTGATACTCCCAACCCCTAGCACAGTGCCTCTTTAAGGTGGTGTCCAAAAAACACTTGCTGAATGGACAATTTCTGGAAATCTGCTGCAGGATGGCCCGATTACCCTGGGTTTATAAGCGATATTAGCTACATATCTTTCAGAGAGAAGTCCAAAGACATGCGCTGTATGTCAACAAGTAGGTGGGGCTATGATTTGATTCAGTGTCACCGAATGCCATGTTACAATGAGGACACAGTGTCTCCCTAATTTTAAACAACTTATTGCCCATAACTTGATTAATTGGAGCACCTTGCTAAGGAAGGGAGGTTTGCAGAAAGTTCGTGAGCTTTCTGAATTCCTTAGCATTATTTTGCCTAACGGAACCACTTTCCAAAGGGATGGCAAATGGCCACTTCTCTAGAGAAGTCTGACAAACCAGAGGATTTTCAGTGGAGGCAGTTCTGCCCTCTAGAGGACATTGTGGAATTGTGTAGGACCATCTGTGCCCCCACAGTGTTGGGGTACGGGAATGGGTGTGCCGTGGGTATTCATTGGAATAAGACTCAGTTTTAAAAGAGATCCTACAATGCATAGGATGGTCCACCCAACAAAGACTTGATGACTATCAGCATGACTTTGGAATGTCCCACCTTTTCTTTAGGTGGAAACCCCTAATCCCATTATACCTGTAAAGTATCTTTTGCACTGCTTTAATGTACACTGAATTTTCCAGATATATAACTACTGTGAATATCAAAAGGAGATCAGACCTTGCTTTGTTTGGAAAAAAATCACATTAATAGCCGCAATGCAATTAGGATGGATGAGTTGCCAGTCTGGCAAACCTGCATCAGTCTGGGTTTGGAACTGTCACGTCTCAGTGATTCTGCGTAGAGGTCTGAATCTGAGAACTTTGTTAGGTCTACTGAAGCTGTTACATATTTTTTTAAAGATTTATTTGTTCATTTGAGAGAGAGACAGAGAGAGCAAAAGCAGGGGAGAGGCAGAGAGAGAGGGAGAAGCAGACTCCCCACTGAGCAGGGAGCCCCACATGGGACTCGATCCCAGGACCTGGAGATCATGACCTGAACTGAAGGCAGACACTTAACCATCTGAGCCACCCAGGTGCCCCTGAAGCTGTTACATTTTGAAATAAATTATTTTCCTTTTCTTTCTCCTTTCTATTTACCATGGCAACATTGCATTGATTTTTTTAAAAAATCCTATCTGTAGGGAGTAATATTACCTATAAATTTCATTTTAGGATAAAGGGATGGCACAAAATGTTTGTTCTAAGGAGAGCTCACTGGGCCCAATAGAGTTGACAATTGCTGCTTTAGAGAGAGGAACTGGGCTTCATGCTTTACTCCATACTGGACTTCATGGCATAGAAACGTCAAAATTTCAACTCAGGTGTCCCCTCACTGTTTGAATCTGGCTTTGCACACAGCTCCAGTATTGACTAGCTCTGGGACCTTGGGCAAGTTACTTCACTCCTCCAAGTCTGTAAGATAGGAATTAAAATGCTTCCCTGCTTGTAGTTGTTTGGAGGATAAAATTAGTGCATGTAAATATTTACAATAGTTTTGGACGCCTGGGTGACGCAGTCAGTTAAGCATCCAACTCTTGTTTTCAGCTCAGGTCATGGTCTCGGGGTCTTGAAATCGAGCCCCATGTCAGCCTCTGAGCTCAGCCCCACAGAGTCTGCTTAAGACTCTCCCTCTTCCTCTGTCCCTCCCCACCATGTTCTCTCACTCTCTAAAATAAATAAATAAATCTTTAAAAAATACGTATTTAGAATAGCTTTTGGCTCATAAGAGCCCAGTAGAGGTTAACTTTAAAAATATCAAAGGAGGGGCACCTGGGTGGCTCAGTTGGTTAGGCGACTGCCTTCAGCTCAGGTCATGATCCCAGGGTCCTGGGATCGAGCCCCACATCGGGCTCCCTGCTCGGCGGGAAGCCTGCTTCTCCCTCTCCCATGCCCCCTGCTTGTGTTCCCTCTCTCGCTGTCTCTCCCTCTCTCTGTCAATTAAATAAATAAATAAAATCTTTAAAAAATATATCAAAGGAGCAGTATGTAACAGACATGAATAAAACCAATCTAATGACATAGGCATGTGCTCCGGAGCATGCTCACAAATGTGTGTCCTTTTACTGCGAAGCCTTTCCTCTTTCCCTTCCTTCCTCCCTCCCTCCCTTTCTTGCTTTCATGTGTTGTCTTGGAGAGTATGGGATAGCTGAGGTCACCATTTTAGTCATGGGAGAAAGCAGGGCACTAGAAGTCACGGCTCCTCTGCCCTCAGACTGGGCAGAGGCACAGTACCTTCCAACTTGCTTCCTCAGCTGGAAAGCAAAGTGGCAAGGCCACATGGCAAGTCCCTCAGATCAGAACTCTACCTCTAAGTAGCCCTAGTTTAAAAGGACTACTGAGGGGCACCTGGCTGGCTCAGTCGGTAGAGCATGTGACTCTTGATCTCAGGGTCCTGAATTCAAGCCCCACGTTGGGCTTAGAGCTCACTTAAAAAATAGGTAAAAGTGTATTGTATTTTCTAAAAACTACAAAATGAAAAGAGCTACTGAGGGTGACATATGGTAGCACGAATTCATATAAACCTGGGTTCCCAAACGACACCCACAGGGGCCAGGTATGTTACAAAATGGAGTGAATGGGGCCGGGCTGGGGGGACCGGGCAGGAGGCTGATAAATGGCAAGCGCCTGGTCTGAAAATGGCTGGCCTGATCCCATGGCAGTGCACGCCCCTCCGTGCCGCGTCTTCCCAGTGTCCCAAGAAGCCAGAAATCCAGATTCTTATGAGAAATGTCCCGACTTTTCAATCTATAAAAATTCACTTCCTTCGCTGCTTTTCACAAGCCCTGCTGCAAAAAGAGCTTTTTAATGCAATTCAAAATCAATGTAAGATTTTTTTTAATTTCAAACTATGAAGTGATAAGTAAAGACATTTCCTTTTATTGAATAGCAGAGTATCATTAAGAAGATAAAATGAAGCACGTTGATCTAAAATTTCAAATGGGCATCACAAAAACATTTTATTTATTCTAACCCAGCAGGATATATGCCCAAATGTGTAATCCTCAGACGTGGAATTCAGTGGCACTTAATATATGTAATATTGGGTGATTGTAACCAAGAGCTGGACTCTGAACTCCATAGTTATTACATAAAAAATTTCAGTGTGACTACTAAATAATTAGTACCGTCAATGTGGTAAATACATTAAGTTACAAATCTTTACATTTGTACATAACTCATTTTACAAATAAAGGTTTTAAGACTCAACTGTCCAACTTTCTTTAAACACTAAATGTTGCTGAACAAAAAGTCTGCAATAAATATTCCCTCGGGTGGGGGAAATGCTTTTACGTAAGATCTGTGTTACAATGAATATCTGTGTAAATATTTAAAACCTTAAACTCCTCATGTGGTTATTGAAATCTTGTATTCTGAAAAAGCTTATATTTTAAACAAAATTTAGTTATTAATTTAAAAAGTAACTGTTCTCACAATGCTGATGTTATTCATTGTTAGGTTCCTCCCCAAATCATAAATAGGTTGTTCAACTGTCCCCTCAGGTTGCTGAGTTGTTAATTTTTTTAAAAAGAACCTTCAATAATTACCATCCAGGTGTTTTCCTTTGCTTGTTGAGGTACAGATTTGTATTATGACTCACTGAACAACTTAGAATGAAAAAAGAACACGTGGGCCTTTTCTCAACAGTATAGCTGAGCTGTCCAATTACACATCTTCAGCCAATTTGCAACTTTAAAAGTCGAACTGCTGCGTATTTGGAATAAAAGTAGCATAAACTGAAATGTAATAATCACCATGTTTTCAAAGCCAGAAAGCAATTCTGTAACACACCCATCCTGTGATTGGAGCCAGGAAGCGTAGGACTAAGAAGGCGCTGTGTTTTCCTAGCACATTCCTCCAGGACATTGCGGGGTTCAAGGCAAATTCCCCCGGAAGTCCTTGGGGCAATGGCGACAGCCCTCCACCTGTCTTCCAGGTGTACTATCGCTGTGGCTTGTCAACTGGAACTGAAGTCCGGACAACTCTTCCCAGGCAGCGGGGGCTCCTGCTGGAGTGGGTAAGCGAAGTATTGGGGTGACACCAGGAAACCGGATGGCTGCGTCAGGTGGATTGGGTGGCCTGTGGTGTAAGGTGGGGGCGGTGAGGGCACCAGGCAGCCTGGCTCTGCTCTGGCAAAGGAGAATCTGCGGATGGAGCCCCCAGTGGAACTGGAGCTGGTGGCCGTGCTGGACTGCCTGGAAGGTGCCCTGAGGCTCGTGGAAGTCAAGATCATGGGCAGGGTCTCTGTCTGGTAGCTGCGGAGTGAGAAGCGGATTGGCTGCTGTGAGGGCTCCTTGGGTCTCAAGCAGGTGCAGCAATAAATAGCCACTAAGGAGCCCAGGATGATGAAGGCAATGAAGATGGAGCCAACGATGAGGAAGGGAACATAGACGGGCTCTAAAAGGTAAAAACAGACAGACACAGGTGTTTGGACAAGAGTCTCCCAAACTCCAGGCAGCTCCCGGTGGGAGGTAAGCGGCCCAGTAGGACCACCCTTGTCAGCCCAGGCTCTCGGAGCTTATTACTGGTAATCTCTGAAGTGCGAACTGAGATGACTGAATATTCTTGCTCCTAGCAGGGGAAGGAAGCAAACTGATACTGGAGCCTCTGTTAGCAATTAGCCATTATATTGCACATCTGGAAATCAGAAGGAACAGAACCTACCCTCCTGTTCAAGCACTGAAGGGAGGGGAAGGGTGAGTTGTTTGGTCACCTTGACTCCGGATTTAAATCCAGGTTTTGGGTAGTTTTATCACGGTGGGGCACTTGGGGCTCTGACCCATCCCTGATGCTGAAAATTCTTCTCCCGTCCAAGAATCTCCAATCTAAGCAAAGAGAACCAGCTTGTAAGGGAGACCCCCATTATAAGACTAAGGAAAGAATGGTATAAAGAAAGCCATAGTGGGCCTCAATTAACTGTGTCTTGACTGCATCGGAAATTGTGCCTGGCTCTTTCTTATTTATTATCTGACTCAAGTCCTGTGGAGACTCTTGTAAGGTGGACATGGTCAGCTCTGTTTTCCAGATGTGGAAACATACTTGTTTTTGACCCTCCCAAAGACACACAAGCAGTGATTGACAGGTAACTATCAACCCGGAGGTTCTGCAGGTTCCTGGGTGTAAGCTCTTCAGTCTCCCATCCGCTCTGCCATGTTTAGTAGTAGAAGGCGAGGGGAAAGCGACTAACCACTTACCTGGGGGCACTGTGCTAAGCATTCATACACTCTCACTCAATCCACAATCCAACTCCTCTGAGAACAATATGCCCATTTTAGAGTTGAGACGGGGCCCAGAGCAGTTAAGTAACTTGCCCAAGTTACACAGCTGGCAAGGGGCAGAGCCACAAGCCAAGATCCCTCAGAGTTCGGCTGATCCCGCATCAGTGAGTGCGGGGCCGGCCCCCTCTCCTGCTGCCCTCCCCCCCCCCCGCCCCCTGCAACAAACCGGATTCGGGGAGGCCCAGGAAGGAATCCCCGCTGCAGACTGCGCATTGACCCTTACACTCTGCAGAGCAACCGGGTCCCCCAGGGTGAGTGGAGTAAGCCAGGGGAAAGCGTCTGTATCTTTTTGTAGAGGACCGCCTAGAGTTCCCTGCTTTCCCCTGAGCATCCTTTCTCCAGAAACCACTTCGCCAATCCCCCAGATTGGGAGTTTTGACGCTCAAAGTTAAATTCCTTGAGAGTGTAATGGAGTTCTAAGGCAGAGCAGGCTCCCCTTTCCTCCGGGTTATTACTCTATTGGCGAGTGGCTCTGGGGCAGAGGGGGTACTCTGGGCACCAATAATTCTCTTTCCCGCGACCTTCTCTTGCCCGCTTCAGACCTCCGCTGTGGAGTTCTGGGGTGTCACCCGCTCTTAGCTCCGCCCGCTCCCCCGGGTCCCGGCGGTAAAACCATCGCCTCGAGCTCTAACCGGTTTCCCTGACGTTCCCATTCAGGTGGAAAGCTTTTTCTTTTCTTTCTTCCTTCCTTTTTTTTTTTTTTTTTTTTTTTTTAGGTGTAAAGTTCCTCTGCTGGGGTCATGATTTACTCCGCTCTGAAGTGAGCGGAAATTTGACCCGTGTTTTCCGACACGAGAATAGGGGGCGGGCAGCCCCTGCGACCCTGGTTTCTGAATCTCCACCTCGAGGACCTGGGCATTTCTGAAAGGCGTGACAATGGGGGTGGGCCAGAGAGGGTAATTCGATGCAGAGAAATGAAAGGAAGTGGGGAGAACGAGGCAGAGGCTTAGGAACGCTACCAAAGATCCACCAAAAAGGGGGGGCGGTGAACGTGGCTCAAGTTCCTGGGCCCTGCGGGGCTGCAGATGAGCGCTCCCCAAGAGTTGCGGTCTCTGGCCGCCGGCAATCCCCGAAACTCCTGGAGTGACCAGGACGCACCATGGGGCGCCCCCACCGCCCTGGAAAACCGCAACCCGACCTGACGCTGCCCCCGTAGCTCTTCTCCTCACCTCCCGCGCTCCCGCGAGCTCCAGCTGTCTCGCCCAGGGCCTCCGGTGCAAGCCCTGCCAACTTTCCTGGGGCTGACCCGCGGAGACCGCGTGTGGCGGGAATCGGGAGTGCAAGCGAATTAGGGCGCCTGACCCGAAATGCGACCACCCGCTCCGCCTCGATGCCCCCACCTGGCCGCCCCACCAAGCGCAGACGCCGGGCGGGGGCCGAGGGCCCGCACTTACGTGCGGTGATGCCGGGGTGCTCCAGCTCGCCGCGGTCGTTGGTGCAGCTTCCCTGCTCCAGCCTGGCGTCGGCCGCGGCGCAGCAGTAGCGCAGCGCGCAGGAGCCGCAGCAGATGGTGGCGTCCAGCGTGTCGAAGTCCTCCGGGCACTGGAAGCCCTCGTGGTAGTTGCCCTGCACGTCCACCCAGCCGTGGCAGTATTCTCCCGACTGCTGGGCGCCCGCCGGGCTCCAGCGCAGCCAGCCCAGGAGAAGCCAGAGCGCCAGCAGCGCCCCCATCGCCGCTGGGCGCCCGGACCGGCCGGGAGGGAACGCAGCGGGAGAGCGAAGCGCGGAGCGCCGCGGTGCCGCCTCCCTCCCCGGGGCGCGGCTCGGGCGGCTGGCCCCCGGCGGCCGAGCCACCGCCCCCCCCCCACAACTCCTCGCGCGGGCTAGCAGGGGCCGGGGAGGCGGCAGGGGCTGCGCCGCGGGCTCCGCAGGCCGGGGGTCTGCATGGTGCGCGGGGGCGAGGGGGCGAGGGCCCGCGGGAGGCGCCGGCGGAGGCTGCTGCTGGGGAGGCTGCTGCCGCCCTTCGCTGGTCTCATACTGCGGCGGGCGCGAAGGGCGCGCCGGACCGTCGGCCGCCTCCCGCCCCTCTCCTCAAGGGAGCCATCACGTCCCGGGCTGGCGACCCCCGCGCCGCACAGCGCCCCTCCTCGTGGCCGTCGCCGGGTCCCGAGCGGAGCCCGAAGGAGGAAGAATTTGAGATCCCCACGTGCGGGCGCGCGGGGACCCGCGGCGCCTCCACCCCCGCCCCTGTCTGTCTCCGGAGCAGGAGTCAGCCTGACCGCGGCCAAGTACAAACGGCCTCGGGGTTGCTGACAGCTCTGCCTGCAAGGCGTCCTTTAAAAAGGAAGAGGGAGGGGGAGACAGCGAGGGTTAAGAAAGAGTCCGCCCTCCCGGGTCGCGCCGCTGGAGCTAATCACCGCGGGCGCGGCGCGAGCTGCGGGTCCCCGAGGCTCTCGGGTTCGCGCGCCCCCCTCTCCGCCATTCCCGGGGCCCCCCCGCCTCCCCCCCCCACCGCGCTCTCCCAGGACTGGACTCTAGGCCTGCGGGGAGCAGGCCCCCCCCACACACACACACAGCCCAGAGATCTCCGCAGAGCGAGGGCGACGGCTGCCGAACGTCCGCGGCCATCCACGCGCGTTGGCCCGCGGGTGGGGACGCGCGAGTGCTTTGTACGGATGTAAGTAAAAGCGCGCGCGACCACTGAGGTTTGTCGAGTCTTGTGTCGCCTGTTGCACAGTTCCGGACTCGATCCTGGGACACCTGTTCTAAGGGTTCCGAACATGATTTAAAGGGGCCGCCAACATTTGCACTTAGTTTTCCACCTGAAAGTTTCCACTTCTAGGAGGAACGGCACGTTTTCGCCAACAGACCCACACATGCACTCCCCCGCCCCCCAAACCTGCGTGCCGCCGGGTGAAGAATCGCCGGTCACCTCCACCAGCCGAGGGCAGCTCGAAAACCCTCAACGAGCACGACTTCGTTCACACCCACAAAGGAAATAAAAGAACAAAATTAATGATAATTGAGCCGATCTGAACTTCTGTTCGGGCAAAGAAACACATTCATTTAAATGATGTGTCCCCTGTGTGCTATTTTCAGGGGCACCGCTCCTTTAGCGGCCTAAGTGCCTTATGAAACTGGTGCTATGTGAAACCTAGGCTAAACTCAAGCATTTGTTTTTACTGCATCCTGAACTTCCTCTCATCGTTTACTGGTGTGTGTGAATATGTTCCACGTATCTCAACCTATTTGTCAAACGGTCTGAATGCCCGTGTCACTGATTTAGATGTTGGCAAGTTGAGTGAAACAAAAGAGACAAAAGTTTGCTGTGCACCAGCAATAAAAAGTGTGCGGTCAAAAGCATTTACCACGCCCGCAGCTTCCCCGTGGTCCCCAGTCGGTTCAGAGCTTTTTTTTTTTTTTTTTAACTTCGAATAAAACGGTTTCTCTTCTTAAATCCAAGTTAAAGTATATTCCAAGTAAAGAATTACTTCTGACTTCTGCTTTTAAATATTGGGATTAGCATTTAGTTATGAAAATGTAAAAATAATGCTCAACATTTCAGATGGTAAGTAGGACTGTGTAAATATTTAGCTTTCTTGCTTTCTTAGAAATAGTATTTCTAGGGACAATAATAAGCTATTAAGTAAAACCAAATTAAGTTCTGGCTTTTATCCACAAACAATGGTACAGTTTTTCTTGACTTAAGCAAACGGAAAAAATTGTTTTTGCAAAAAATTTCTTGGGTACTATGTTTTTATTTGCCAAAAAAAAATGTTCTTGCCAAACTTTAAGTTTTTTTCAAGTTTTTTTTTAGGAGTGTTGTTTGGATTGTATATATCCTGAGCAATTAAGGGAAAAGGTCATTTCGAGCCACAGCAAAAGTGAGCTCTAGTGATCATAATAAGATGATAAAACTACAAAGACATGTTTACTGCTAATAACTTTCCCAGAACCACACCTCCTTATATTATTTTTGTTAAATTTAAAGGAATTCCATTACATCACAACTGCAAAAAGTTCCGCAACAGCAACATTTGCTAGTCCCCCAAGGGTCAAGTTTCTCTCATTATCCAGCTGTTCTTTGATAGCATTAATATTTTAAGGAGTGATTTGTTGGCGCTTACCTCCCATTAATTACATTCTCCATGCCACAGTGGGATTCTTTTCCTCAGGACACCAACTATAATTAATTCCTTCATTCAAAGCCCCTGTCTATTTGACTTATTGAGAGGGCATTTTACTCGAATTTAGCTGGATGTTTACCAGGGGAAAATAACCAAACCTTTGAATTACTTGATACTCCATAGATCTGATGTGTGTGACCATTAGAGCAACTGTGAGCCATGCTTTCTTATCTAGATCCAGGTGCCTTTAAACCATTACAAAAATCAGCTCAGGGAGCCTGCCCATGAGGGGTGGGGTGCCCGGGGAAATGTGGTTCTTTGTCATAGGAGAGCTCCTCGAATTTACACTGACAAATTTTAACTGCAAAAGTGATGTCCTCAGAATGCTCTTTGTGAATAGGAAAAGAATATGCATTTCTTTTTTGGTTTATAAACATCCACATTTTCTGTTATTCTGTTATTATTTTAAAGATTTTATTTTATTTATTTGAGAGAGAGAGAGAGTGAAAGAGAGAGCACAAGAGGGGGTAGGGTCAGAAGGAGAAGCCGACTCCCCACCGAGCAGGGAGCCCAATGCGGGACTCGATCCCGGGACTCGGGGTTCATGACCTGAGCCGAAGGCAGTCGCTTAACCAACTGAGCCACCCAGGCGCCCCTATTATTCTGTTATTACTTTAACAGTAAAGGAAGATTAAAAAGTTCTCATAGACCCCCCAAGAAGACCCTAGGGGAAGACATGGAGATGGAAAATAAAATCTATACCGTCTGGGGTATTATGTGGAGGTTTTGGAAATTCTATATTTTTCCTTATCTCAGTAACACAAATTCCATATTTTGGTGAATAACACAAGTCATAAGGGATCATTTCCTCAGCCTACATTCTCTTGTGGCCCTGCCTCCAGGAAATTCTATAGGAAATGAGTTAAATGATATGATGTCTGGGATTTGCTTTAATAAACACCAGCAAAAGAGAAAGAGTGAAGGACGGAGGGAGAGAAAGAGAGTGAGGACGGGGGGAGAGAGAGAGGGAGAGGAGGAAGGAAGAAAGAAGGAAGGAAAAGGAAGGGAGGGAGGGAGGAAGGAGGCAAAAAGAGGGTAGGGGATAAATGGAAATGGAAGATGGAATAGAAGCAACTGGAACATAACTGGTAATATGTTAATCATCGTAGCTGCACGGAGGCTGTTTGTACGATCAAAATGCAATTCTTTCTATTTTTTGTGTATGAAGAAAAACTACATACACAAGTTTTTCTTTTAATTTTTAATTGATAAGAATCAATAGCAGCATGAAACTACCACTGGACCACTTTTAAACTGTGTCTTGTTTCCTTCTCCTTGTCGTAGAGTCTTTGGAGCAGAGTGAAAGATTTGAGAAAAGTAAAAGCAGAGAAGGAAAGAAAAAGAAGGCAAAATGAATGCGTCAGAAAGGACTGGAATAAAAATGTACTAAGAAAAGGAGAAGAAAAAGCCAAAGGAATGTAGAAGTGAAAATAAATGAATGAATAAATGAATAAATGCATTAATTAATAATAAGGACAACTCACTTTGGCTTTGGAAATCCCCTCTGGATAATTTGCATTGGATCCGGAAATAAAATAGAAAACCAAAATTTTCTCAACCCTCCCTCAAGTTCCTTTCTAGAGTGATTTCTTATCACTAACCTTCCTTTAATAACTTTGCAGAAGACTTAATGGAATTTTCTTCCTTGAATCACTCATTATAAATCTCTTATTCCAGGACCCTGTCAATCCGAGTTACTGGAAAGGTATTTTTCCTCAAATTTGCTTTGGCACATATCCACCACTGGAGAATAGCAAGGTGCCCGGAACCCTACTCCCAGCCCCCAGCGCCCAGCTCCCAGCCCCCAGCTGGCCCTTCCACCTGCCGTGTGCATTAGCTGGCCTTAGAGTCTTCATTTATAAAGAGGGGATTAGACACAGTGCCCTTAGAGTGTTTCTCGAACCATAAGGTGCATAGAAGTCGCCTGGGGACCTTGTTGAAATGCAAGTTTTGATTTCCAAGGCCTATGGAGGGACCAGAGATTCTGCATTTCCAACAAGCTCCCAGGTAACGCCAAGGCTGCTGGTCTGAGGGCCATCCCCTGTGCCCCTCTGGTCCTCCTCTACCCTGCCCCCCCCCCAACAGGGGAAGGAATGAATGGAGCCAAAGGGACCCAACCAAAGCCCATTTCCTCACTCTCTATACCACTCTCTGGGCCTTAAGATACCAGCAGTCCCTCCTCAAACAGACTCAAGCTTTTGCTTCTAGGGTTTGCAGAAGCCATTTCCTGGTCATTAAGTGGCTCTAGGACCAGGTCATTAAAAACTTGTAAACCAGGCTAAGGTATCCTAACCCTTACACAGGAGGGCCCCTGCAGTGCAAGATGGAGGCCGAGATGGGAAGGGGCGGGGCAGGAAGGGGCAGGGCAGACCTGGCTGGCAACCTCCATGTCTACTCTTGACCCAGCTCACACCTGTTAGAGCGGGCCTGTTGCCCGACTCGTCCTAGGGGCTCAGTAAATTGTCCAGAGGGAATAAGTGAGTGATTGAATAAATGACAAAGGGAACGTGTTCCCTTAAGTGATTTCATAGCCTCTACCACACCTCACTGTAATTAAGTGATAGGGCACGTGTCTTACCCCATTAGTTTGGCCTCCTTTTTCATGATTATATCCTGGAACCTAACAGAGCACCTGGTGCATAGTGAGTGCTCAGTAAATGTTGAGTAAATAACTGTAAACAATAGATGACTGGTTGAGAACTTGTGACAACTGAGTGACATCCATCTCACTACTATGAAGAGCTGCAGCAAGTGAGTATCTGGGAGTGACCAGCAGAGGGCAGGGCAAGTTTCCAGGGCAGGGAGGATTTGGAAGAGTCAACCTCTGTAATTTAACTGTAACTGTAGCTCATCAAGAACTGTCTGGGGGGGATGCCTGGGTGGCTCAGTCGGTTGGGTGTCTGCCTTCGGCTCAGGTCATGATCCCAGGGTCCTGGGATCGAGTCCCACATCGGACTCCTTGCTCAGCAGGGAGCCTGCTTCTCCCTCTCCCTCCCTCTGCTTGTACTCTCTCTGTCAAATAAATAAAATCTTAAAAAAAAAAAAAAAGAACTGTCTGGGGTATTGGTACGGACAGCATACAGCAGTCACCAGCCATCCTCTGTCCTCCGTGGAGACAGACAGTGAGGACACTTGTCCAAGAGAAGAAAACTATGATGTGGAGAAAATCAGCCAGCACAGTAGAAAGAATATTCTAGTTTTGAGTCAGACGAGTCTGGGTTTCTGAGTGTGCCTTCTTTCTGATCCCATGGCCTTGAGCAAGGTCCTCTCTTCAGCTTACCGAATCTCAGCTATCATGTCTCTAAAATGAGGGGAATGGGAGAGAATAATCCCTCTCTTGAAAGGTTACTGTAAGGATTCAAAATAGAACATGTCGCGGTCTGAAGCTCGGGGCTTCAGAAACAGTAGGTATTACCCACCACCAGTTGGTTTGAATCTATAGTCAAATAATCATGGCAAGTTTCCTGCTCACCAGAATGGGCCTGTGCCCTGATGAATTTGAGCGGATTATTTACAGTGCTCCATCGTTCATTCCCTTATTTATTCAATGTGCCCACTCATAACCACTGGCAATTGAATATTGATTATTCACTTTTAGAGTTGCTCTCCTGAGACATGGCCCAAAGCTAAGAGCAGTGGGGGATGAGGGTGGGTGTCAGACGATCACAGTGGAGGGACAGGCCCTGCTGGACAGACTCTATTTCAGCTGGATTTCCACAAGGTGCAGCCCCAAGCACAGGTGGGCATTTAATAAGTATCCAATTAGTCTGCGATTCCATATTATGTCAGTCGAGATGTAATTTACTAACCTGGGCTCCTGGCATCCTTCCAGTGTATGTATAATGGAATGATATTTTTCATGAAGAAATATAAATTAAATTAATTGGCATCCATATTTAATTGAAACTTCCTTGACAGTAGATGGATTCCCCCCAACGCCACTCTTTTCTCAGTAAGGGGCATTTCCTTCTGAGTGTTTGCAGAGTGAAGGGAGGCCAGCCCCAATTCCTGGGGCTCCCCAAGGAGCTGGCTTTCAGCAGGGCTTAGAGCACCTCGGAAAAGTGAATTGGCCCTGGAAACATGGGAAGTTGCTGCACTGCAGCCACGTGCTCTTTTGGTGGGGGGAACGGGTTTTAGAGGACAAAGAAACACAGAATGTTTCTGTCTTATTTGTCTTCTTACTCCCCTTCTCACCTTTACCAACCACATAAAATGTTTTGAAAATTTTTAATTTACCCTTAAAGTTTGTAAATCATATGGAATTCTTCGGAAAGCTACGATACGGTTGTTGTCAAAGTTACCTTTTATTTTAAATTTTCCCCTTTTCAAATAGCCTGTATCTGGTTAGATCTCCTGGTGACATGAGGGCTTAATGAGGCAAAGGTCCTAATTTCCACCCTGTGGGTCAACTAAGTTTCCTTTGTCTCAGGAATACAGAACGCACACTTGACCTTGGCTTGCAAACTCCTGCTATGGGTTATTTGAGGGCATCAGCCAGAGCACTTGGTTCTAACAGATACAGTCAAATATGCAGCTTGGAAAATGAGCTCAGCGTCATACACTCCTACAGCAGATGGGTCGACGGTGTTATCTTTGTAAATATCAGCGTCTAATATCTAGCGCTCGCGTGCCCCTCACCCTATCCTCGGTGAGGACTCTAGAGTCCTTTCTGCTTTGCCTACTCCACCACCTGATTTCATCCAACCATTCATTCTGTACAATCACTTTATTTTCTACTTCTTTAACATACTTTCTGTAATCAAGGATAAGAAGAAAATTCACCCTTTGCATTTTTCTTTGGCTTCTCCCCTTGAATTGGGCTTGAAATACAGACCCCGTTTGTAGCTGTCTGCATGGCTAGTCCAATTTAGCATATAAAAAACTAGGAGTCAGTAACTCTTTAGTTTATGTGCCATTATTTAGTGGCATTTTCCATTTAGAACTTATCTATTTGGCAACCTTAGCTCTCTTAAAGATGGGAAATGCAGGAAACAATCTTCCTTACCTACATGTGCCCCCCCACAACATACATACACCCTCTTCCTAAGAAGGCATAAAAAAATCACAAAGTATGGGACTAAATGTAGTTTACTGATAAGAGTGCTTCATGAATGACGTGGATGCAACTAGAGGGCATTATGCTAAGTGAAATAAGTCAGTCAGAGAAAGACGAATACCATATGATTTCCTCATGTGGAATTTAAGAAACAAAACAGATGAACATAGGGGAAGGGAAGGAAAAATTAAAAAAATGAAAATTGGGATGGAGGCAAACCATGAAATGCTAGACTGTAGGAAACAAACAGGGTTGCTGGAGGGGAGGGGGGTGGAGGGGAGATGGGGTAACTGGGTGATGGGCATTAAGGAGGGCACTTGATGTAATGAGCACTGGGTGTTACATGCAACTGATGAATCACTAAATTCTACCTATGAAACTAATAAAAAATAAAAATAGATAAAATATGCTAAGTCCCATAAAACATTAAAAATGTTTAGATAAAATAAGAGTGCTTTATGCCCCCACACAGGGCCCTTTTTTTAATGTAACTTTTATTATAAACATGTAGTATTTATCTTTGTTAGCAATGATTTTTTTCATAATATGAGCATGTTTCAATCACCCAAAGCTAGCTAGCTACCTACCTAGCTATCTATATAAATTAATATACATTTTGTTGATTGTCTACTTAGTAGAATCCCATGGTAAGTTTTATAACGACTAATCAGCCTACCTCTGATATTTTTGGTGTAAATAAAAATGTTTATATTTATTTATTTTTTTATTTTTACTAAATCAAGTTAACCTATAACAAATTCCCTTTTAGAAAATTACCACATGAGTACAAGTTTAGTCTTATGAAGATTAGAAGCAAATTTGAAAAGCAAGTGTCTGGAAATTAAAAAAAAATGCACAAGGGTGGTTTAGAACACACCAACAGAGTAGATTATGTATACAAATACCTACTTAGTAAGTATTTGAGGAATTTTGAGGATTTCTGTGTGACATATGCTATTATTTTCTGTTGCTGATATCTATATAATTAATAAAATATGGTCTTCCGTACTTTTTTTAAAGAAGAACAAAAGGTAGTTTTAAAAACTCACACTCTGAGGGAAAAATATGCAGATCCAATCTCTTTACATTTCTTGAATCTAGAAGTACTAGATTATTGTATGGAAACTTAATACCAAGAAATCATTTAAAAAAAAACTTGTCAAGTTTTAAATTCAAAATTGTGAGAGCAATTATAACAACACTTTTACTATTTTCTCTACCAATAACTACATCTCATGTAGCATTTCTGTTACATTAGAAATCCTGACAAAATGGTTTCATAAAATGTGGGGGAAAGGCTAGAAAAAAACATTTCAACTAGATTAAAACAAAAACAAAACAGAGAATGTTCATTATACCGGGATATCATAAAACTCTTATCATGGGTAAGGAAAAGTCTTACTTTTTTAAATGCCAAAAGAACAGTTCTGAATAAAGTTCAATTCAATTTTATATCTAACAAAAATGTAGAAATCAGATGGTCATATTCAAATCAATCGGTC